AAGCTTCAATATGATGGACCCTTGCAGTGCGGCAATTAACGCACACACACACACACAACAGTGCCCCAGCTTGCTCACGCAAACTCGCATCTCAGCTTTTCATGCCCTGCTTCACTAAGTACAATCTGCTGAACAGCAGCTTTTTAAAGCAGGCTCGCATAAGCGTAGCCCATCTTTCGCCGCTTCGGCCAGATCATTTGCACTTCCTCCTTGGTCGGTTTCACCGCCGCAGGAAAAGAAACAGGGTGTGCCATAAAAGAAGCCAGGGCTGAGTGTAAATGTGAAACATCCCGGGAGGTCCCGACAGACTTGAAGGCCCCCGACCAGTTGTGGCATGCAAAGCACTCTTTGTGTGCTTGCGAAATTTGCCAAAGCCAAGCCAATGGTTCTGGCTGCCCCTCTGCAGCTGTCTGCCTCTGTTCTCGGTACTTCTGACGCAAGTACGACTTGAAGCGCCAAAAGGCGAAGACGTCCAAAGGCTGGAGTAAACTTGTTGTAGATGCTGGTATATATAGTAATTGAAATCCATGTCGCTTTGCCGCTACTAAAATAGTTTTCGGCAGGTGTGGGCACGCGCAGTCCCACATTATGACTGGTGAGATGCCTGCGAGAAAAGGCATGAGCGCCTTTTTCACGGCTTGTAAAATCACCAGCATGCAATCAGCTGTGACCCAAGATGACTTGCCACGAATGATTTGCAGCTGCGTACGAGGCAAAGCGTTGTACGCTCTCAGCAAAGAGCTCGGTAGCCTCGTCTGGGAGCTAATCAAGAAATGAGGAAGAAATGGTTGTATACTTGGATCACTGCAAATCAGAGCGCAGTATGTGTAAGCGCCGCGCCGGCGATCCTTTCTGATCTTCATGTGTGGCACTTCTGGATGTTTCTTCCAATGCTTCGCGTTTACTATGCACCCCGCCCCCGGTAGTGGGGAATATGCTATTGAAGTCTCGTCAAAGTTGATCCAAAGAATCTTGCCAGTGACCTTCTCGGTGATGTAGGAAATGCTCTTCCAGAAGACATTGATCTGCCATGGTCGGAAAAATCTTGCAATGAAGTCTCACCAAAAAAAGACAAAATTGTTTCCAAATGCGGCCCCAAAATTGAGACCGTTTTTGGGCCCCAAAATTGCTTCCCCCACTTAAACAAGACCACAATTCGGGACTCCCAGGCGGTCCCAAAAATAGGACCTGACATCCAAAGTTTGCAGGCCTTCTGCTGCAAGTCTTCCGGATTGATTTGGCCAATCGGCCGCAAGCGCCCCCTTCGCACGGCCCAACGAGCACGCCATCGAGCAACCCATTTGTTCACAGTTCGTTTATGAGGCCGCCCACTTGGAATCTTACAGGCATTGCAGGATTCAAAGCGGCTAAACACTTCTGCTGCACACGGAGCCACGCCGTTGGCAAGGTTCTGTGCATGAACCCAACGCCAAACCTCCTGTTCCCCAAGGAAGACGCGAGCAAATTTCAGAGCCCTTGCCCAAGCCATGTTGGCTTCGTCATGCATGCAAAGAAGATCGTCTAAATCAATATCCAAAAACAGTTGCCGAACCAAAGTCTTGCTGGGGAAATTCACATCTGCTGGGGGTAACGTTGACAAATGTCTTGCAGCTTCCTCCGCCGTCGCCAGATCCCACGAAGAAAGCATGTACACTGCCAGCACCCTTTTGACAGCTGTCACTGATAACCCCCCATGTTCCAAGCGCAGCTTGTTGCGCCGTGCAGCTTGCTCACAACTCCGCAAGCGCAACCTGTTTTCATGCAAAGAAGCTTTCAATGCCTCACAACGCTCCGCTGCTGCCATGGCGTGCCTTTGGCCGCGCCCGGCCACAGCTTTTAGCAAGTTTCCATGTGTATATATACCCTTGCCACACTTGCGTAGACATGAAAGTACTAGAAAGTACAAGTTAACATCATATATAGATCATGCCTGTGTGTTTTCCTGCGCATTCTTGACACAGCCTCTCATGGACATGACAGAAACCCCTTCGCTAAGAGGGTATAGCCAAATGTCAGCGAAGCAGAATAAAGAATCACGCTTTGTTTTCAGCTACATCTTCTTTTTACGACCAAAACAGTTGACCCTATAGGGAGCCATGCGTTGTGAACACCTTATTGACTGAAATAAACAAAGTTTGGCCAGATTAGTGGTCACACTCTCCCGCCCAGATATTACGGCAAGCATGGCTGGGTCTCCAAAAACTCCTGCCAAGACAAATTGAAAAAAGCGGCGAGCGACACACACACACACACCTGGGGGCCATACTTCGGAAGCCTCAAAGCAGCACAGAAAGCGGTCTCATTTTTTGGCCCGCGCAAATTGACTGACCAGCAATGCCATCACGCCTTCAGCAGCATCCTGCGGCGAGCAAAGATGGAGCATATATTGGATTGCCCGGACAATGCGCTTAGTCAACATGGGGTTACAACTCCTGCTGGGCCAATCACAAAAACCGAAAAGGGATGCATCTTCAAGGTAATGGGTGCTTCTCTGCACAACACATGAAGCTCTCTTTTTTGGGCCCGCAAAAGTCGCACGAAAATTCAAAGGCATCGTCCATCATTGCCTCAATCTCCTCATCACAAGGCCATGGCATGAGAGGTTCCTGCAATGCAGCTGCGCCAGTTGCGACAGAAGCAGGAAGATTTCCATCAGGAGTGTTCTTGCTCGCAGCAGCTGTGCCAGATTCGGCTGAAGCAGGAAAATTTTCACCAGAAAAGCTCGAAGAACAATCCTGGCGCCACTCACACCCACTGAAAACATAACATTGGAAACGCCCATCCAAAGGAGGCAGAAGGTCCCAAAGCACTAGTGCAGACATCTCTTATGAATTCAACCATGTTTGATAACATCGCATTCAAAACAAAATAGGAACATGATTATGCTGTTGGCCTCCTTTGGATGGCCGTTTGTAACGTTCCGTTTTGCATGGGCCAGCCGGTCCTCGGACTTGAACACCTTCTTCGAACACTCCACCCAGACTGTGCGTCTGTCGATGGCACCCTTGTGGTTGGGCGTGAAATATTCCACTGGCCAGAACTACTTCAAAGCTTGCAGAAACGTACTTCCCAGTACTACTTTGTACTACAAAGCTTGCAGGAACGTACTTCCCAGTACTACTCTGTACTACAAAGCTTGCGGAAACGTACTCCCCAGTACTACTTTGTACTACAAAGCTTGCAGGAACGTACTTTCCAGTACGACTTTGTACTACAAAGCTTGCAGAAATGCACTTCTTTGTACTACAACTCTTGCAGGAAATGGGAACACAGGTTCACCAAATACTGCGCCTGCCACGAAAAATGACAATCTGAAGCATCCTGGAATCAGCATGAGATGGCCAGTTCCAATGCGATTTACGATTTGTTAGGAAAGCATGCGCGGCCAAAATCGAAGCACTCCCCGCACGAAAACCAAAATCATAACGTTGGAATCCAACGTTACGATCCGTTTTTGGCGACAGTTTCACAAAAAAGTGGAAATCATAACGTTGGAACGCGGTTTGAAATAGAATATAATATTCTTTTTTTGGCCGCATCCAACGTTACGATTTCGACTTTTGTCCCACACCTGCCACGAAAAACAAGCATAACGTTGGAATCCAACGTTACGATTTCGGCGTTTGTCCCACGCCTGCCACGAAAACTCGGACCAGAGGCTCACCAAATACTGCGCCTGCCACGAAAAGAGCAATTAGGGGCTTACCAAGTACTGCGCCTGCCACGAAAACTGGGACCAGAGGTTCACCAACTATTGCGCCTGCCACGAAAAATGGAATTAGGGGTTTACCAAATACTGCGCCCACCACGAGAAGTGGGACCAGAGGTTCACCAAATACTGCGCCTGCCACGAGAAATGCATTTAAGGGCTTACCAAATACTGCGCCCACCACGAAAACTGGGACCAATTCGTGGCAAGCTGGAATCCAAGATTGATTGCAAAATTTCGAACATATGAATGAAACCGGGTGCCTTTGTCACACCTACGGCTGATTTTTGCACACATGCACACACCTGACCTCATTCCATATCTGCTTTGTGGCGGCCTTCAGCTGCTGCTTTAAAACCTGCCTTTCAGCACGCAAGCCGGGCAGCTGATCTGGCACAGCTGCGCGCACTGGCACAGCCGCGCCATCAGGTCTTCCGTCTGCACCATTGCCAGCTGCGCTTTCATCATTTGCTGTGTCAGACATGTTGACTGAACTGCGAAGCAGCAATATCTGTGAGTCTGAAAAAGGCTGCGTCGAAGCATGTGTCCACAAGTCTGATGCTGTCTTGGGACTGCAACATAAATGGGGCTGGTTTGAGAGCCCCAAAAACGGTCACACTTGAAGCTTCAATATGATGGACCCTTGCAGTATATACATATGTGTACATATATATTATGTGTATATATATATATATATGCATATATATATAATAGATTATGGTTATAATGGGACAATATCACCAACTTGATATGATATTGGATGAATTGATTGACATTGGATGAACAAATCCTACCAAACATTGGAAGGTTAGATATTTCACTACCAAAAAATGCGGCCTTTACCGGAAAAACAAACAAATCAAATCAAGTCGATATCTGGTTGCTGGTCGAGCCTCTGCATGGCCTTTAGCAAGTTCCAAGCTTATTCTAATTCTAGAGGTAATGAATCTCACTACCTTGGAAAGCTGGGGGAAATCTCAAAGCAATGTACCCCTGTCCAAAGGTCCGCAAAGGTGCATTTGGGACCCACTTCAAGTCAAAACCACAGATTCGCTTCAAAATCCAACCACGGTGATAAATGCAAAACATATTAGTAGCAGTAGTCCCGATCAATAAATAAGAATTTGTGGGCAGTGTGGCAATCAGTTGGCAACCCTCCCATCTTCGGGGCCAGGATCGGTGCCATTTTTGGTTGCAATCCCGGTCAAATTCCCTTCAATTGCTGCATAAATCTTTTGACCCATGAAATCCCCAGGTCCTTGGTTTTCTAGTCTTTTCTAGCCATCTTGCCTCATTTTTTCCATCTTTCCATATCTTTCCCTATCGCCCCTGCTACCATGACCCAGTCCCCCTCCCCACGCCTGAGGATTCGATCAAAGGTGGGATACATGTCCAAGCGCTTGTCCAAATAGGGCGGCCAGGTCAACGCAAAGCCGATGAGCCTCGCGGTGCGCTTGCGCGGCGACGAATGGCTGGTATGAAGTGATGAAAAAATGGTGGGTTGAAGCTGCAGATGTCGAGGGAGATTTCAGCAAAATGATCAACTGTCTGGCAGAATCATAGGGAAAATAGCTGTGAAAAATAAAGCCATCTGTGGATTTCCAGCGGCGATCCTTCGATATTTCTGTGTCTGGGCTCATCCCAAAACCAACTGGTTCACTCCAGGGGAACCAAAAATCATTGGTCAAGGAACGACACCACCAGGGGGCTATGCTGAAATGGCCTCCTAGGAAGATCTAGCATGAAAATTGGATGGTCTGATACCAAGAACAACTCATTTTTTGCTATGCCATATGCCAAAAAACCCACCGCCAATTTCTGTAGGTTCCATCCCGTCTTCAGCTGTGATCCATGCAGCAAAGGAGCAAGACAAACCAATATCGGCAGTAGTACTCACCTCGCAACACTGGGATCCAGAACATTCCAAGTGTCAAGTGTTGGGAGTCCATTGCTACCCTCATTTCAGGTCTCTCCTTTTCAGCGAGCCCCGGTAGTGAACTTCCAAATGAATCCTTGGAAAACCCCAGTGACTCCAGTGGTTCATTGGTTCATTTTTGCCAAGTTTCCCGATCAGAATGGCCATAAATTGCGGGGGTATACCGATCAGAAACCCCATTTTCAGACGCCCGTTTTTCGTGTTCCCGAGCACGGCACCCACTGTCTTCCGATACATCAGGCCGTAGGTTTGTGTCACCATACCTCGATCGTCTAAGGCAAGGAAGAGGAGACATGATCCGGAGAGAGCTCCGGAGAACTGGTTTCGACGCTCGAAACCCGAAAGCCGAAACCAACTCTCAGACTTGTCTTCGGACGCGCAAGCCGAAACCCGAAAACCCGCAAACCAAAACCCGAAACCGACTCTCAGACTTGTCTTTGGACGTGCAAGCCGAAACCCGAAACCCGAAATTGACTCTCATCTTTCACACCGGACACAAAACCCGAAATATGAAAATACAGCGATGGGCCCTAACAAGTGGAAAAGCAAAAGGTTAATGAGAGAGAGGATGTTAGAACTGCCAGGTAAGAGAGATGAAGAGTTTTTAAAGAATGGCGCATCAGTTGAAGAGATGAAACCAGTTTTTGCATATTTTAACTTTTAACTGTCCAGTAAGAATATATCACTCTGTTCGATACAATGTTTATTCTTTTGACCCTGAAGCTAAGAACAAAAGCATTATTTTTTTTGGATTGGCTAAGGATAATCATATCTACACGTTGAACTCCCATACTATTTGTCTACCGCACAAAGACATAGAAATGATTGTTTAATGCAGCGCAACAACAAATCGTGTATTTAATAGGAGTGAGAAGCCTGTTGAATACAAAGTCTGTTCTACTATTGATGATATTCTACCTATTTTAAGGGAGAACGAAAAAGAGAAAGAGAAGCAACTAGAATTTAACCTAATACACTCTGAAGACAATTTGATGCAGGTATTAGTGATTTAAGAAGGGTAGGATATACACCATTTATAACTTGGAAAGCTGGACAAATAAAAATTTGAAAGTAAAATTTGTAATTCTGTTGTATTCAATATCAGAATTCAGAATCTAATAGCTGATGCAGTAGACAGGCACATTGTTGTTAATGACACAGGTGTCTTCAACAAAATGAATAAGGCAATGTTTGAATTCAACAAGGGAGCTTTTTCTCCCTTATTAACCCCTATTAACCCTTATTAACCGTTATTAACCCTTATTAACCCGAAACCCGAAACCGACTCCGACTTCCGAGAGTCAGCTCTGCGGAAAGCGAGGCTCAGGAAGAGAGGCATACAGCATACAGACCTGCTGCTGAGGAACCCAAGATCATGATGTCGAGCAAATGGAACGGCCTGGCGGGATGAGGCCATTGAAGCCCCACCACGGATGGCAAAATGTGTATGGAGGTTTCAATGGTGGTACCCCCATTTTTCATCCAAAAATTGACCATTTCAGTATATTCACTATTGAAACCCACGGTTTTGGAGATTCCATTTTTTGGAAACCCCCACATGTTTAGTATGAAGCATCTAATTATTGGGGTACCCAGGTACCCAATTTTGACCTATACTGCCCATATGCGGCTATGGCTTGCGGTGCGACCGCACTGTACCAAGCATCCAATCTGGTTGGACCAACAATGCTATGAGAAGAACATGGGGGTCTTACCAAAGATTGGAGCAATTGAAACTGATGAAATTCCAAGGAGGTTCCTCTTCAAACTGATCCAGACCTGCGGGACGCACCGCGCCTCTCCTCTGGACCGCGATACATCAAGGATCGGTTGACCTTTCTCAGCGGGTGATGGGTGTGCTTTTCCTGTGGGGAACTGGCTCAGTATGGTATCAGTTGATGGATTAAAGGGAAAATATTCAGGAAACCGCAGCCTTGACCGAAATCCAGGGGGGTCCTCCAAATGTTCCCTTCAACCAATGCCGGGATGATAGGAACTGTCACAACATGACTTCTATTCGGATCTGGCATGTTTTGATCGTCTTTTGGGCAGGAATGGATGAGATTCTTGCGCAATCAATGGATTGGCTTTCCGCAGAAACTCTTCCGGAGACCCATCAGGGGGGTGTGTCTGCGTGGTTTCCATCTGGCAAAAAACAAAGTCCGGTAATGGGATTGTCTATGATTGTCTATGATTGTCTATGATTTATGATGGTCTATGATTGTCAAGTGAAATGATTCAGCCATTTTTCTGGTCACCGGTAGCCATGGTCCCCATTCCATCTCATTCCATCTCATTCCATCGCAATGCGCTGAGGCGCCAGGGTATTGGCCATGATCATCCAGGGAATGATCGAGGCTTTGATCCGAATGGATCGGAAGGTCCTAGCTGACGCTGGGATCTTCGGGATCTTCGGGATCTTCGGGTGAGGGTGTCACCGTTGAGATCAGATATCTATGAATCTATGGCGAATCCAGAATCTTCTGAGACAGAACATCTTCTAAGTCAGAAGGGAAATTCCATGGGAAATTCACAGTCCGAGATTTTGATGAATGTGGTAAACCCAATGCTATGAACCATCCTCAATGGGCTTTGTGAAATGGGCTATGCCGGGTATGCCATGGTATGCCCTCATGGTTGGTGAATGGTGAATGACCCAGTCATGAATCCCAGGTCGGTGGCATTGGGCCCGCCTCAAAAGGAAGAGGTTCGACAAGGTGAGGAAGGCATAGGTGCACAAGTGAGCCACAAAGTCCTCGAGCGTTCCAGCGAGAGGTGAAAAACATTGAAGAAGTCAAGAAGTATGCGATTTTTCGGAATCTCAGAAAAGGGGAACTAAACTTAACTAAACCAACATTGAAATGGGGATGGAATGGGATATGTATATATATAATACATACCAGCAATATGATATCTTACCCCCCGGTTGGCCAATTTTGCCCAAGCCCAGACAGTCATCTCATGTACCAGGGTAGGTTGCAAAAAGTTGAAACGAACTAATTGGGCAGCGCCAAAAACGCGACAACGACTTCAAGTGAGTTGCAATTATGATAATCCCCAAGATATCTCATGATATATCTGCTAGATTTTGCCAGTACCCCCATATCATCAAGCACCATCCAGGTGTAGCAGCCACAACGCAACATCCTAATCCTGGTCAAACTCAGCGAAACCAAGACACCTGTGACTCTTTGAGATTGCTCGGCAAACCCCAGACATTGCCATCGCCTGGCAACATCGGCTCCCGGTGGAGATGAATCGGCACATCTCGCTGCTTTATGTTGGGAAATCCCCATCCGGAACATAGAGGTCTTCATCGGAAAATGATGGAACTCACTGATGGGGAAAAAAACATTGAGGAAAATTACAACTGGGTTTATCATTCCATAACTGGGTTTATCATTCCATAAATGGGGTTATCATTCCATGGGGTTGTCATTCCAACAACAAAAAAACCGCCGCTCGACCCAGCGGCCATGAATTGCTTTGGCGAAGTCCAAGAAAATCGGAGCCACGAAGGGGTTCAACAACTTCGGGAGGAACACGACGCACAAAAGGCCTCGGCAGCGTGGATAACATCATCAACTGCAGTTTGGTTGGTTCAACAACTTTGCAAAACTGTGCTTTACACAATGGCATAGGACTCCCCATAGGTTACCCTCTGGTAATTTAACATAGCTATTGAAAATGGCCATTTATAGTGGATTTTCCCATTGAAAATGGTGATTTTCCATAGCTATGTTAAATTACCAGAGGGTAACATCATCAACTGCAGTTTGGATGGTTCAACAACTTTGCAAAACTGCGCTTTACACAATGGCATATGGGGATGGGTCAAAACCCTGGTACCTTCTGTTCACCCAAAATAGCTGGGATTTATGGATGTTCATCCCCCTAAAAATGTATCTATAGGTATTGACCCATACCCATATGACTCCGTGAAAGATACACGGAGTAACCTATGGTGCAGAGAAACATCCCTCTCTGCAAGTCCAAGGGTCCAATGAATAGCAACGCCATGACGATCGTTAGAACGATGTTGAGCACTCCCTTGCGAGTTGAGAGGAACCAGCCAGAAATCACCAGAAGAATCTGAATGTGTCAAGCTCTGCAGTTATGTCCCGAAATACCAGTTATACTGGTTGGTGGTTTCAACCCCTCTGAAAAATATTAGTCAATGGGAAGGATTATCCCATATATTATGGAAAATAAAAAATGTTCCAAACCACCAGTCAGTATAAGTTATGTCCGTCACTTATAACATCTTATAACCCCAATTTATGGAATGCTAACCCCATTGGCAGAGGAACCACTGCCCCTGGCCCAAGAACCCCAACCTCGTCCTCAGCAGGTTCCTCAGTGTCCAAAAAGGTGGGGTTTCCATAGATGGGGATACCACAAAATGGATAGTTTATAGTTTATAGTGGAGAATCCATCTGTAAATAGATGATAACTAGGGGTACCTCCATGACTCAGGAAACCTCCATATGGATAAAACCCTGATTTTGGCCACATTGGATATTTCCCCAAGACTGGACGGCCAACAAGAAAACGCGAAAACGCCATGTCACCCGATGACCAAGCTGAGCTTGGTGGAACTCAAACCAGTTGGAAAATCCCAAAATAGTGATATCTTCCCAGCAGATTTAGCTGATTCATGATGGGAAAATCAAGAAAAATAGTGGTGCAATTCGTGGTTGGTTTTCATGGGATCTCCTATGCACGGAGGATGGATAGCTTTAGTTTAAGCCCCTATAATCATCAACCAAATGTGTGTTTGACACTGCACGGCTTTGCCCAAACGGGCGCGTGTTGAAAGTCCGACACCTTGGGACCGTTAACTGGTGGGATCGCTCAGGTAGCAACCCATGTTTCGGGGTTGCTACTGGGCACAACCCGGTGGACGTTCATTTCACTGGGTTTATTAAAGTGCCCTTGTCAACAATCACTGGATTGGATTAAGGGAAAATCTACAGGAAACCATGGTTTTTACCATCAAATATAGGGCTTCCCGTAATTTTTCCCATAATCCAATTCTATGAAACAACCCATGTTTCAGGGGGAATGTCAACCACGGATTTTTCTGAACCTTGGTTGAATAAGTAGGAGGATTTTTTACCCCCAAACAAAAAGTGATGTCAGCTGCTATCCTCGGTTGATGTTATAGTATAATACAACCCAATAAAATACCCAAAATTGTAAGTTACATTTATGGATATGATATACTGTATAAATCCAATTTTTTTGCTCGTGAAACGTGTCCCCATGTTATCTCCATATTATCTCCATTTTCCCATGATATTTTGTATATCTCCATGTTCTCTCCATTTGATGCTTGGTCAATCTACTTTCCTTGGGGTTGATCCTTTACTCCCCAGTCATATCCATGGTTGGTGGGAAAAAATATCATCCAATCCCCAGAAAATTAAAAACTCCCACCTAAACCATCTGGTGTAGCTCATGAAGCATTTGAGGTTTCATATCGCGTATGAAAAAAATCCCGTGGCTTCATTTTTGAATAGTCCCTTTTCAATAGTAATAGGTTCATACCCCTGTTGTCACTGGATAAAATTCAGAATCTTTTATGGTTCGTCTCCCCATAATAAAATTCGATCTCCCACTTTTGATGGTTCATTTGATGGTTAATATCCTCAGATCAGTCAATCGGGGGATGTATATCCCCGTTTCGGGATGGCTAAACCATAAGTAAGCTCCAACTTTCGGTGGTTCAACTCACATTTAAGAATTCAATACAGTAAGGGCCGCCAAGTTATAAGTTGCTGCTGTTAGTTAATCCCATGCAAGCGCAAATATATGTATCCATTATCCATTATATATTATATATATATCATATCATATCATATCATATCATATTTGTTTATATCAAAGCATACATACTATATTATGTATACTCTATTATATTAAATATCATATTATATATATATCAAATTATATTATATTTTATTGTATTTTATTATATATTGTTATATTATATATTGTTATATTATCTATATTATAGTATATTATAGTCTATTACATTATTTTATACTAAATTACATTATAGTGTAGTACATTATACTATATTATAAACTTTATAAATATCCATACTATATTATATCATATTGTAATTATAATGTATAATATATAACACATAATATATAAGATAGAATATATAATATAATATCATATATTATATTATATCATATACTATGTTATAGTGGGTTTATGTGTGGTATGTATGTATGTATGTATGTATGTATGAATGAATGAATGAATGAATGAATGAATGAATGAATGAATGAATGAATGAATGAATGAATGAATGAATGTATGTATGAGTGCATGTATGTATATATTCATGTATACATGTATACATGTATGTATTTGTATCTATGATATAAACCTCAATTAACCCAGTTACCCTCACCGAAAAAATTTACATCGATGCGACTCCCATTTCGGCCTTCCGAAACTCATCGAACCGACGAGGTGCGGAGGGGAGCGGCTCTGCGCTTTCCAGCTGCGTCGCGTCCTGCTTCAGCCAATACTTCCTGCCACGAAGCCATGGAGTGTTACCGGGAAAATTTGGAACGTTGCCAGGAAAAATGCTGGTTTAAGCCAATGGAAGTGGGGAGTGTACCATCCAAAAATGTGGGTTTGATCTATTTTAAACAAAATGATGTCACCATCAAACATGATGATTTCACTTGATCTAACTTTGGGGAAAAAAACATGTCACAACAAAAAAAATGATGATTCAATATAAACTAGGGAAAATAAAGAGTTTACCTGTCAACAGTTGTGATTCAACCTGTGGAAATTGAGAGCTTACCTGTGATGTTTTGACGAGCAGAAATAGGCAAAGATCATATCACATGAATGGTTCCTATCCATCCCAATGGGTAGTACCCAGCCAAAATAGCATCGGATACAGGATGGGCCCCCCAGTTATGTTTGTTGGTTTATAGACCCCATAAAGGATAGTGATATCTACCATAAACTATAGTTAAGCCACTTATAAGACAACTGAACGCTATCTTGGGGGCCCCATCTTGCGTTCAAGAGGATATGTTTGTCGCAACACTCCACGTTGGCAAACATACCGTACATGGGCTAGGCAAACTTCACATGGCTTCGCCCAAAAATGTACACCCCCAAAAAAATGACCATGTTGATGAGGCTTAAATGAGCTTTTCAACAATGGCTCTTCTAACGGATTCTGTTGGTGTTTTCCCCAAGATCTTCAGAGATTTCACCCCCAAAAACATGGTGACGGCGCCTGTAAGAGGCCGTGCGTTTATGTTCATTGCATTTGCTCCGATGAAATCAATTGCTTCAAAAACCCAAGGTTTTTGCACATTCTGATTGAAGTCCATCATGAATCTAGAGCATAAAACACTGTAAGGCTGACCGAGGACATGCGTTTTTGGAACCCCTCGCAGCATTTTCATCACTTTTTTAACTCTTTGCCGGCGCGCCTGAAGTTTCAAGTGCTTTTTTTTCGGCACTCTTCTGCCAAAGCTTGCCACAATGACCAACAGAAGAAAACAGAAGAAAAAACCTAGATCCAGAGCTTAAAGTATAAAATAGTATAAAATCGTATTCAAAAGTGATTATGTTACGAAAGAATATGCATACTTCGGTGACGGCGTCAATATATAAGCGCAAAGTAAGATGTCAATGGCGTGACAGCGAACATGAGGAACAACAGACACAGACGAAACAACATTGTCAATGGCGTGACAGCGAACGTGAACATCCCCCCCACCCCCCACCCCACCCCACCCAACCCATCAGACAGGTACACGAGGAACAGACACAGACGAAACAACATTGTCAATGGCGTGACAGCGAACGTGAACATCCCCCCCCCCCACCCACCCCACCCATCAGACAGGTACCGAGGAACAGACACAGACGAACAACATTGTCAATGGGTGACAGCGAACGTGAACATCCCCCCCACCCCCCACCCACCCCACCCCCCATCAGACAGGTACACGAGGAACAGACACAGACGAAACAACATTGTCAATGGCGTGACAGCGAACGTGAACATCCCCCCCACCCCACCCCACCCCACCCCACCCACATGCTTGCATCAAACACCCCCCCCACCCCACCCCACCCCACCCCACCCACATGCCTTGCATCAAACAGGTACAAAAGAACAAACATAGAGGAATGTGTAAAGGAAATGTAGAGACCGTCAAAGGAACAGACCGGAAATGTAGACACAGGAAAAATGACACACGCGCACGGCCTCTTATAGGCGCCGTCACCAAAAACATCACATGGCCGAGTCTCAAGGGCGCCAGAATGGTGCAAAAGAGCATGAGCCCCACGATGAACCACATCCTGAGTGCGTGAAAGCGTGAACATTTACGATGACCTGACCACTTGGGACAAAACTGGGTCCCAAAACATGAAAAAAATCCCTTCAGTTCACTGCAGTTCGGAAAGATCCGAACTGTTTCAAAAGATATTACGGTATCCATTATATCTATAGCATGATCCATACCTTAGAATGGACAATATATAATGATAAATATCATGGAAACCATCCAATATTGGACATCCACAAATGTCAGTTTGTCATGACCCTTCCGGGCTTGACTGTCAGCATGATCTGTCATGGCGAGCCGCTGGAAAACCACGTTGAAGAAATCATGCTCCCAGTCCTCCATTCGTTGGGGATGCAACAGGCGACATGGGCTGGAACACCCACCATTTATAGTTCGAGGATTTCCCCACTCCGCCCGAAATCGTTCGATGTTCCATTGCCATGTTTAATTACCAGAGGGTGACCCAAACAATGTGGTGGACTTCTGATTCGGAAACTATGTCTGCTTCGGAAACTATGCTTCGGCATCTATGCTTCAGCATCTATGCTTTGGAAACTCTGCTTCCACAACTGTGCTTCGGCAACCAAGCACAGTAAACTATGCTTCGGAAACCATGCTTCTGAAACCATGCTTCCGAAACTATGTCTGGGCAACAATGTTTTGGCAACTGAGAAGGGAAAACTATGCTGTCGGAAACGAAGGAGATTATCAGCAACCAGGAAAACAACTCAAACTATATAGATGGAAAATGAATGTCAATCCCGTTCTCAACCACTACTATTGCATGTAGGGCTTTGGGGAGGGGAAGGTTTAAAAAATGATGTGGAATCGTGATAAGAACTCTTGGAAGAACGAAGCTGTGAATTGGGGAATGCTATTGCATGTAGGGCTTTGGGGAGGGGGGAAGGTTTAAAAATGATGTGGAATCGAGTACAATGCTGTTTGGGTTGCTGAGTCGTAGTTGCTGAGTCGTGGTTGCTGAGACGGTTTTGAATCCAAACACGGGACTTGTTGACCAGGGCTCTTAACCACTTGGGCGATCCCTTCCCCAGAACAGACCAATCTCGAAACCCAGTGGAGTCTTGAGAAACCCAATAAGTGAGGCTCTACTGTACGTCTCTAGAAAAAGCCACATGTGATGTGAATCCACAGCTGTTTAAAGCTCCCAGCTCCTCTCACTGGGGATCATCCTCCCTTTGTTGAGGATGGAAATACCCAGAATCTCATGGTTCAAAGTTTAAACCTGTTCCCTATTCGCCCTATTCTTCAATTGCCCCATATTGGTGGCAAATCTACCATTTGGACAAACCCATACCATATGGTTATTAAGAATCCCGTTCCATTCCACGATATTACCCCCAAACAATTGGTTTGTATACCCTCTGGTAAACATACAAAAAGCTGTGGCTTAAATGGCCCGTTTCTAGTTGATCTACCTATTAAGATGGTGATTTTCCAGTTTGCAAACTGTTGGCTTACCAAATGATATATATATATATGTGATTAATAACCATTAAGAACCATGATTAACCATTGACGTTTACCAGAGGGTTTGTTTGATCCCCAGGTTTCAAGACTGGGGCCCCATCCACCGAAACCGGCACCAAGTCGCTTGCCCCGTGGCAATCCAGGCAGACCAGTTCACCATGATTCCAACTGCGGCATAGATCGCCAGACGACCCAAATAGGCTTAGCGGCTAAGCTCGCGCAGCTCGCGCAGCCAGACGACCCGGGACCCATCAAAACATCAGTGAGTTGGTTTATCATGACCCATGATATGGCAATGGAACAAAGATATGTCAGTGAGTTGGAGACCAGTTTCCGTTCGCCATCGAAAAGATGTTGCATTTGCCACATCAGACACGAAACCGGCCGAGACACGCAACAGCGGCTTGCCTTGATTCAAGGCCGGCCGTGTCCGGGGCCCACCAGCAAAAAAGGAATGGGAAAGGGGCGAGATGGTGATGTGAAGCCGGCTGTCAAGACATTTCGACAAAAAAGTCAGGTGTTTCTGCTCAGAGCACGAAGCCCCGCAATCTGCTGGCCATCATTGTTTTCCCCAGTGGCCATAACTTCGGGGACCCCATCTGCTCTGCGCAACTTGCAACGGAAGAAAAATGTCACATGTCTTGCAGGCCAGCTGCTGGACAAACAGAAAGAAACCCCCGAAACCAGAACAATCCTCAGCTGCTCCGCCGTGCCGAACCTTTGTCACATAGGAAGTGATAAATGTGGTCCAACCCCAGACCAGAAACCATTCCAGTAACCAACGATTTTGGGGAAATTGGATATCATCCCATATATAGGGGTCAATTTCACGAATCTAACCATGGCGATGGTTCAAAAAAAGGGCGGTTTACCGGTTTACCTCATTCGTTGCCATGCTTAGTCAGTCCCAATTCAGGTTGTCTCATCTCCATGTGGGAAATGACTCCGTAGTATTCACAGTTTGCCGCACAGTTAGCCCTTTTTTGGCCCATGGATGGGCTGATGCTGCCTTAGTGAAACCCTGGTCACCCAATTTCCCACTGACTCCATGCACAGATTGCGCTGAAAATTCCTGCTGGACATAGCTTCCACTGGAGGGTCCATTGCTGGACATAGATCACATTCCACTCCTGAGACGCTTCGAGGCTGGAAAGGAGTGGTTCCATCTTAGAACCAACAACCTTCAGATACCCACAGGGTGTGGCTGGTCATTTTTTCTGTTGCAGCGGTCTTTCTTGGAAACCACCGATTCTGACCCACAACAAAAGTAAGTTCAGCTGATGTACCCTGACTGTCCCAATTGGGCTCTTGCGAGTTGTATCCTGGAACCGTGAACCACCCGAAAATCGAACTTGTGTGTGCTCAAGTGGATCCTACAAAAGTCAGGTGGGGATGGGTCAAAACCCTGGTACCTAGTGAACCCCAAAATAGCTGGGATTTATGGATGTTCATCCCACTAAAAATGTATCTATAGATATTGACCCATACCCAGGTGTCTTAAAAGGTGGAAAGCCTGTTGAATGTGGCACACCTCGCAGCTCCAAGAGTTTGGGTTCCGAAAAACGATCCAAAACGCCAAGGGGCGGAGTACATTGGACTACCATGGTCGATGGCCACCAACCTTGGCGATGAAGGCAATGGGGATATTCCAGATCTCAAACCCATCATGTCATTCCAAAGTCATCCGGCTTGGTCATTGATATAGTGATTTTAGGCTCGCCCACTTTCGAGAAACCTGTATGATGCAACCTGGATGCGCAGATCTTGGGGAAGTCCACGCTTCAAAAATGACTTGCTTTGGACAATCAAGCGATATCAAGCGATGTCCCACCGTGAAAGGGCTCAAATCAGGCAAAATGCCGTGTTTCCAAACCACACAGAGGACGTGTGGCTAATGTGTCGTCGCTTGCTCCCAACTGCGACCCGACGAACTGTTCCTTGCCAAGTGGCATAACGCAAACGATTCTTGTGATGTCTAAGTGCGGGAAGCCACCCTTCGGAATCTTCTTCGGCAGCAAACCTGAGGTCTCGAACAGAAAACAGCTCGACAGGAAGCTATAGTTGTAGAAACCCCAGTTGTTCTCCCCAAAAGATGCAACATGAAATCCGAGAATTGCCGCTTCGAATGTATAGTTCTATTGACCCCCACCTTTACAAGATCGTTAATACGCCCAGAGAATCGTTGTTGTTGGTAGTTCAGACTTGCCTGTTTTTCAGCCCCTTTTCATTGTCACTTGGTTTTGTGCATCCCATTATATCCCCATCACATCCCATGAATATCCCGTGAAAACCCGAACAAAAATGCTAATGTGGGGATGGGTCAAAACCCTGGTACCCCTGGTGAACCCCAAAATAGCTGGGATTTATGGATGTTCATCCCACTAAAAATGTATCTATAGGTATTGACCCATACCCAAATCATCCCCAAATTCACTATAAATTCTAGTAACCATCATCCCCAAGTTTGGCAGGTTTATTTAATTTATGGCAGCCAGGCTTGTTCACCAAAAATTCCCAGCACATCCCAGAAAAATAATCCATTGAAAACCCATTAATGAACCATTAGAAATACATTCATAAACAAATATCAATTATAAACCATTGAAAATACATTCAAAAACAAGTTGCAAAAAAGTAAAAACCATTAAACACCATTAAAAACCATTTAAAAACCTATTTAATGAACCATGAAAAACCATTTTAAAACCCATTTAGAAACCATCAAAATGGCTCTTCCCCCCTTACTTTCGGAAGGTCATCCGTCACCTGGCCCAGGTGCGGTCTGAGTCTTCGGCTTCCACCAGCTCCGCCTCCCCCGAGTAGGACGTCGGAGCAGGGCCTCGCAGGCGAATTTGCGGGGATTTTGAATGGGATTTTGAATGGGATTTTGAATGGGACTTTGAATGGGATTTTGAATGGGATTTTGAATGGGATTTTGGATGGGATTTTGGATGGGATTTTGGATGGGATTTTGAATGGGATTTTGAATGGGATTTTGAATGGGATTTTGAATGGGATTTTGAATGGGATTTTGAATGGGATTTTGAATGGGATTTTGAATGGGATTTTGAATGGGATTTTGAATGGGATTTTGAATGTGATTTTGGATGGTATTTTGAATGGGATTTTGAATGGGATTTTGAATGGGATTTTGGATGGGATTTTGAATGGGATTTTGAATGGGATTTTGAATGGGATTTTGAATGGGATTTTGAATGGGATTTTGAATGGGATTTTGAATGGGATTTTGAATGGGATTTTGGATGGGATTTTGAATGGGATTTTGAATGGGATTTTGAATGGGATTTTGAATGGGATTTTGAATGGGATTTTGAATGGGATTTTGAATGGGATTTTGAATGGGATTTTGAATGGGATTTTGAATGGGATTTTGAATGGGATTTTGAATGGGATTTTGAATGGGATTTTGAATGGGATTTTGAATGGGATTTTGGATGGGATTTTGAATGGGATTTTGAATGGGATTTTGAATGGATTTTGAATGGGATTTTGAATGGGATTTTGAATGGGATTTTGGATGGGATTTTGATGGGATTTTGAATGGGATTTTGGGGGATTTTGAATGGGATTTTGAATGGGATTTTGAATGGGATTTTGAATGGGATTTTGAATGGGATTTTGAATGGGATTTTGAATGGGATTTTGAATGGGATTTTGGATGGGATTTTGAATGGGATTTTGAATGGGATTTTGAATGGGATTTTGAATGGGATTTTGAATGGGATTTTGAATGGGATTTTGAATGGGATTTTGAATGGGATTTTGAATGGGATTTTGAATGGGATTTTGGATGGGATTTTGAATGGGATTTTGAATGGGATTTTGAATGGGATTTTGAATGGGATTTTGAATGGGATTTTGAATGGGATTTTGAATGGGATTTTGAATGGGGTTTTGAATGGGATTTTGAATGGGATTTTGAATGGGATTTTGAATGGGATGGGATTTTGAATGGGATTTTGAATGGGATTTTGAATGGGATTTTGGATGGGATTTTGAATGGGATTTTGAATGGGATTTTGAATGGGATTTTGAATGGGATTTTGAATGGGATTTTGAATGGGATTTTGAATGGGATTTTGAATGGGATTTTGAATGGGATTTTGAATGGGATTTTGGATGGGATTTTGAATGGGATTTTGAATGGGATTTTGAATGGGATTTTGAATGGGATTTTGAATGGGATTTTGAATGGGATTTTGAATGGGATTTTGAATGGGAATGGGATTTTGAATGGGATTTTGAATGGGATTTTGAATGGGATTTTGAATGGGATTTTGAATGGGATTTTGGATGGGATTTTGGATGGGATTTTGAATGGGATTTTGAATGGGATTTTGAATGGGATTTTGAATGGGATTTTGGATGGGATTTTGAATGGGATTTTGGATGGGATTTTGGATGGTCTAATTTGATTTTTGTATGGATTTTCTATGGTGATGTGACCATTTTAATGCCGATTCAATGATTTCTTTGTGATTTACTGACGATTTAATGGGAGTTTCATGCTGGTCTAATATGATTTAATGGATTTTAATGGTGATTTGATGCTGATTCAATGGTCATTTGATGATTTCTCATCATGATTCAATGGGATTTTGCGGCGATTCACCCAGTTTCCATCATTGCTGGAGAATCGGTGCTGTCTTGACACCCCCAAAAGATTGAAAAAAAATATGTCGTGGCGAACAGTTACCCTCTGGTAATTCAACATAGCTATGGAAAATGACCATTTATAGTGGATTTTCCCATCACAAATGGTGATTTTCCATGGCTATGTTAGTTTACCAGAGGGTAATGCTGGTTTGGGTGTCCTCATTGTGTAACTCTTCATGCGAAGATTGGTGAGTTCATCTTGAAAGGTCCGAATATATCGCATTGGAGTCGCTTCATGGGACGACTAACTCACGCTTTCGAGGCTTGGAGGTTCATCCCAGCGCCCTGCCTTCAGTAATGGACTTCTTCTCATTCTTCTCTACGTCCTCCATGTCCTAAGTTGGAATCAATGGAATCGAAAAGAGAGCACCAAAAAGCCCGTGAGTAAACTACACAACAAGTCATTCTTCACATGATTTCCTAAGGACAGAAAAGTGTAACTCGGCACTTGAATAGGTTTGTTTGTCCAACATCATCCCTGACAGCCACAAACAAAAAAAGGAATCACAACGGCTCCAGCTGGCTCTAGCCCAAGCATCAGTGGTATCTTCTTTCATCCTGGTTGCATGGGCACTGATAGGGATGTACAGTACCAAGTCTCGAGCCACCAATGGGCTGCGACACATGGCAGATTGGAGGATCCCCAATAAAATGCTTCGTTTTTTCATGGGGATTTACCACTCAAAGTGCCAAATTTGGCGGAATCATCACCAAACAAGGCAAACAAGGTCCCGGATCACCCAGATCCTTGTTTCGATCTGCTCAAATCAGAAAAAAATAACACAGCAAGAGATCCTCTTGCGGGTCGCCAATGCAATGATTTATGATTTTACCCTCTGGTAATTTAACATAGCTATTGAAAATGGCCATTTATAGTGAGTTTTCCCATCAAAAATTGTGATTTTCCATAGCTATGTTAAATTACCAGAGGGTAAATCATTGCTATTGACAACTTGGCAGCGCCACCAAATCCAGCATGGCATCCTGGACGGGGTCCTGGTTTTTTTTCGTGTCGACAGTTTGGCGGTGCCACTGACAATATCAAACACTCCTTGGATATGCGTCCTACTCAACAAATGGCAACTTGAATAAACGTGAATAAACTGTATGTATATATATATACATATATATACACGCAGTACATATTATATTATATATATACTATATTATATATATACTATATTATATATATATACTATATTATATATATACTATATTATATATATATATTAGTATATTTATACGTATGTCTCTGTGTGTGTTGGGATATCCCATACAATGCATTGGATCACATCCATGAAGAGATCCATTGGGAATCCATAAGAAAACACGCCGCGGCTGCTCCGCTTTCGGTCCTTTTCTGTGCTCGATCCAGGACAACATTGGCCCATCGAACTGGGCTGCTTTTCTACACATCAACACCCCTGGAAGTGTCAGTCATGTATTCTTCGTCTTCTCTGCTTGTGAGATTGGGTGGTTTCTCAAAAATCAACCCAAAAAAATGACTTTACTTCGTGTGATCCCCACCATGACATTTATACATTTTGTTACTGGCAAAGCTTCTGGCATTCTATCTGACATTTTATCTGGCATTCTATCTGGCATATCTTCTGGCATTCTATCTGGCATATCTTCTGGCATTCTACCTGGCATATCTTCTGGCATATCTTCTGGCATTCTATCTGGCATTCTATCTGGCATATCTTCTGGCATTCTATCTGGCATATCTTCTGGCAAACATTCTGGCACTTTATCTGGCGTACCTTCTGGCATTCTATCTGGCATTCTATCTGGCATATCTTCTGGCATTCTACCTGGCATATCTTCTGGCATTCTACCTGGCATATCTTCTGGCATATGTTCTGACATATCTTCCTGCATTCTATCCGGCATTCTATCTGGCATATCTTCTGGCATATTATCTGGCAAATCTTCTGGCATTCTATCTGGCATAGCTTCTGGCATTCTATCTGGCATATCTCATGGCATATCTCATGGCATTTTATCTGGCATATCTTCTGACATTCTATCTGGCATATCTTCTGGCATTCTATCTGACGTTTTATCTGGCATTCTCTCTGGCATACCTTCTGGCATTCTATCTGGCATATTTTCTGGCAATCTATCTGACATTTTATCTGGCATTCTCTCTGGCATACCTTCTGGCATTCTATCTGGCATATCTTCTAACATTCTATCTGGCATAGCTTCTGGCATTCTATCTGGCATATCTCATGGCATTTTATCTGGCATATCTTCTGGCATTCTATCTGACATATCTTCTAACACTCTATCTGGCATATCTTTCGGTATTCTATCTGGCCGTTGAGGCCCAGCGGTGCACACTGAGCTGGGAAGGTCCCAGGTTGAGGTCCAGCGGTGCACACTGAGCTGGGAAGGTCCCAGGTTGAGGTCCAGCGGTGCACACTGAGCTGGGAAGGTCCCAGGTCGAGGTCCAGCGGTGCACACTGAGCTGGGAAGGTCCCAGGTCGAGGTCCAGCGGTGCACACTGAGCTCGGAAGGTCCCAGGTTGAGGTCCTGCGGTGCACACTGAGCTGGGAAGTTGGCAAAGAGCTTGGCGAAGAGAGTTGGCAAAGAGCTTGGCGAAGAGTTGGCAAGGCGGAAGTGGAGGTGGAAGTTGATGCAGAGGTGGTCGAGGAGAAACTAGAGGAGGAGGCGGAGGAGGAGGAGAAGGAGGACAGCTAGCCGAGGAGGAGAAGAACAACTCTGATAAATCTAACAACCCTCACCTGGCAGGTGGGGAAAAAAAATCTGGTGGTGAAACAAAATCCTATCATTTTTCTGGAAATTTCGTATCACTTGTCGCTGTTGAGAAACCACCCAGACCTTTCCTTCTTTTCCCAACTCCTCCGGGGTGCTGTCAACTCGCACAACTCGGCCGCTTACGTTTTTCTCGGACTGGGCCGAGCATTAAGGGCCCCCGAAATCGGCGGCAGTTCGGATCTCTATGGATTTTATCGATATGTCAATATATGGGTTTATGGAGGTTTAATGGGTTTATATATATACTATGGTTTAATATGGTTTAAAAAAGGGATGATTTGCTGGGATAATACTGGGATATTGATGGATATACCCTCTGATAATGACTAACATAGCTATTGAACATGGCCCAGTCGAAATAGTTGATTTTCCCATCAAATTTTTGGTGATTTTCCAGTTCGCTATGTTAGTTTACCAGAGGGTACGAAGTATACTATTGTTGAAATATCTGTCTACTGGATTCTTGATGATTCTTGTTTATTTCATCCAGTTACAAATGACCGGGATCCAGTCCGACTGGTCACTTCGCAATACTCCGCAGTAGAGTTCAGATAAAGCTCGATCGTCCAAGTCTGCTGTTGTTCGGACAATGAAAGGATGGTAAGATTGAAACCATTTGAAACCCACACCATTTAACTTAAGTAAGCCTGTGGGTGAAAATGAATCCCAATTGAGCAATTCCTGATAATCCTGAGATTTGCGAGATTTGCCAGTCCAACACCCTTGTTGAATGACCTGATACAGAAAAAATAACATTTGAGATTTTGACCCTAAGAATGTGTCAAAACGGCGCCCTAGACATCCCAAGAATCATATCTGAGTCCATCCTGGCTTTGTCCAAAACTTAGGGGGAAAAAAACTAAATCCAGTGGTTCAAAACTTAATTTTCCCATCTTGTCACTTGTGTTATCATATGTTCTTTTCGGTCAGCGCCACCGTTTCAGCGGAACGTGACCGCCCAGGACAGGCTGGGCCCCAGGGTGGCTGGCTGTATCTATTTAGCTTTTTGGTAACCCCCAAATAGATGGGGATGGGTCAAAACCCTGGTACCTAGTGAACCCCAAAATAGCTGGTAAATGGATGTTCATCCCACTAAAAATGTATCTATAGGTATTGATCCATACCCAGATAGAAAAGGTATGAAAAGGTTCGATTTATCACTATTTCCATTGGATGTTATTTTTCCATCCGTTTCGGGGCTACTGGACCTATCAATCTAATTGAATCTCATCTGATGATCTTATCCGTCTACCCATACATCCATTCAGCTGTCTATCTGTCTATCTGACTACTTACTACTATCTATCTACCTCACTGCGAGTCATGGTTGTTTTGTGGATCTGAACCCCCAGCCTAGGCATGGATTAATGGTGTACGGCCTGCAGGGAATCTTAGTTATGTGCCTGTTCGGGGTGCCGTAAATAGACCTAAGATGATTGTCTCTGCCCATTTCAAGTAATCCCCATGGTTTGACGACGCAGAATGGAGCTGCTAGTGAGGTTGAAGGTCCACGATTTGAAGTCCGTTGAACCCTCCAATTTTCGGGAAACCCAATGCTGATCCTCAATCTTGGGCACACAACTGGGCTTCTTCGAGCTTTAGATTACACTGGGAAGCTACTGACAAGTACGTGATCCCCCGCCAAAACAAAAAAATAAAAATAAAAACTATAGGAATCATCATGACCACCCCCCAATTATAAAATGCATATCCATCCCTCACAGCAAGGGCCCTTTGCTAGTTACAGATTTATAAACCCCTCCAACTGTAGAGACATCCATATAAACCCCAGTCAACCTACTGTACTTATAGACCAACTTACCTATCTAGGGACCCCTTTTATAGTATAATATTCATGAATATTCCACATGCGACACCATAAGCAGGGTTTTAAAGCGTTAAAAAGTCATTTAAAAAAAACTTCTCCGATCCTCGTAGCCAAAGCCCCATGGGCGGCCATGGTAGTCGCATGTAGTCGCAGGACTCAGCACTAAGCAGCCGAGTTCGCTGCTTCCCGCATGGTTCACCGCTGCAGTGGAGACTTAACGTGAACTCGTCATTTCTATTCACCTGTCCATGGTTGCTGAACTTTCATGTCGCAGCAGATGTGGTCCTTTCCCTGTCTCTAGAGATTTAGCCTGGGGTGAGACACGGCCAGTTTCGAGCGTCACGTTTCGAGCGTGACGGTGATGAAGCACCAGGTTGACAGCATTTCTGCAGCTGAAACGATTGCAGTCTAATCAAACATGCAGTCCCTTGATTGCTGTTTTTGATTTTTCACAATTCACAATTCGAGTACATGTTTTTCGAGTTCATTTTGGCCTTGTCACCTTTCGAACCAGCAGTTCAATTTGCTCAGATTCATCCAGTTCGATGACCGTTTCCTGCGCCCAGTTGCGCTCATCCAGTTCACTGGATGCCCCTGTTTTACGGCGCAGAAGCAACGGAATCTAGGCCTGGAGTAAAACAGGGCACCCGGTTGAATCTCATGGTTTAGCATATATTGAGGTATCCTCTATCTTGAGACAGCCCCATGTATTTACTTCATGTTCTCCATGCTTGCTGATGCAATATCTTCCTTTTAGGGACAATATACGATTTTTGATCATCTACCAGCGTCTACCTATTTGTTGTTGAATGGGGAACCTCTATGAGTCAACCAATCAATCAGTGGGAAAAAAAGTTTTATATAACAATTTAATCAAGTAAGAACCAATAAGGTTCAATTCAATTCATAAATCCATGTGCTGAAGGTCCAATGTTCCTTTTATAGTAAAGCGGACCCATTCATCAATTTCAGAGAAGGTCTCTGAACATAACTATGGAAAGATCCACCATGCTATTAATGCTGGGTAAATCAACGAACTTAATGGGCATTTTAACAATAGCAAACTGTAACAAATTAACAGAGGGTATATCCATCAATATCCCAGTATTATCCCATCATTATCCCAGCAAATCATCCCTAATATAGCTTTTTGTATGTTTACCAGAGGGTAAATCACCATTAATCACTATTAATCACCATTAATCACTATTAACCATTATTAACCATGAAGTTTGGTCAAGTTTTATTCCAGACCGCGCAGTAGTCACGACGCGTTCGGAAGTTTTTTCGGCAAATGCCAGTCCTCCAGAGTTCCGTGTGCCCCACGGGGGCGTGCGGTGGGGGCTTGCTGGGAGTGGCTTGTGAAGAGAACACCACGGGACGACTTTGCTGGTAAATCATATACAAAGATATAGTAGAAAAACCACTGGTTAATCATGACTCCCTATGAAGGAAGTATCGTTTTGTTGGCAAGTATAACCTATTCCAAGACACACCCTTTATGAAGAAAGTACCCAAACCAACAAACACTGGGAAGTGTGTTTCGCCCTTTAAAAATCCCTTTAATAATCACTTCAATCTTAGCCTGTTTTTTCTGAAAATCTGCCAAGCTCATGGAATTTCCAGCCCATGGCAACCCACAGTGATCGAAGCATCTGATCTTCGGCCTTCACCTCCTTCTTGAAGTGGGCACATTCGCCTCAATTTCCTCAGCTCACAGGGCGGACGGGGCGTCTTCCCAGCCCAAGGCGAGGCAAGCCGCTGTAGCTTGTCTGGATTTCTGGAAAGCATCCCTTTTAGTATAGAACAATTATAGAGCATCAGCATATGTGTATTTTTGTCCCATATTTCCCAGCACTGTGCAATCAAGCCACATCCTCTTCGACTTCTTCATCATCTTCGTCATCTTCTTCTTCCTCACCTTCACCCTCCTGGCAGATCCACCCAAACCTGGTAATCCCAGAATTGCTCGGAAAAGAAGGTGGAAAAAATCACAGGAAACCCCAGTATCAGCTGGCCGCCATGCACCGCTTCCCTTGTTCACTATGTTGCTATGGACCAGCTCGATGGACCGGTCTCAGGGTCTCCAGTCTGGGTGTTGACCTGTAATTTTGCTTCATCTTCGCATCGTGCTGTTTCTCCAATCCTCCAAAATTGGATCTGTCATCCAAAAATATGGATGCCCCATTTTCTCAAAATTCTGAAAAACCAGCCAGGAATCATTTTCCCAAAATGCTGAAAAACCAGTCAGAAATCATCCAAAAATCCCATGGGAAACTTTCGCCGCAGCCAGTCATTGCGGCCTGATCCGGCGCAGCTTCCTCGATGCCTCGCATCCAATCTAGGAAGGCTGTCACCTGCAACGTGCGTTGCCATCGGTTCAACTCTATGGATGGTCAGCAGAAACTGCCAGGGGAATTGTTTTGGCCCATAGTGAATTGACCCAGTAAAATACGGTGCTTTGTTTCACGTTTTTTTTCATGGTTCAGACTGGTTGGTAGTTGTGGGATCCCCAGTATCGGTTCCCTTAGTCAAAAGGTCATGGTTGACGACTGGATGGTGACTGGGGCCCAGGGGTATCCCCATTTTAGCAAAGCTCCATATTAATACAGATCTATACAACATTATAGATATACATATATACATATATATATACAACATTAGAAATTGATATAAATTGTACATGTCATGAAGAATATGTCTGAGCTCGGAGTATCCCATATATTCCCAAGTGAGTGGAATATACGATACGATTTAAGCACTGGGGATTGAATTCCGTCATGGAACACTGCAGTACAATCGGGGAGTGGAAAAAAATGGGAATACAATCTGGAGGTTTGTTGCGGACTTACCTTATGTTTTCCCATTGGAGGGTATTTCTGCAAGAATTGGGAAATAGTTGAGTTGATATTCCAAGCTTGGTCATATGGATTTATGATCCGGATTTCCCTTTTTTCAATCCGAGAATTAAAACCATGGTATCGTGTAAATGGCTTTGTCAAAAAGTGGTGGATGCCATATTTTACGACAAAAACCAGTGGGGAACATGATGAGCAACGATGGGATTTTGTGGGTGCTGTTCAAACAACCATACCAATTGATATTAGACGATAGTCACGGTCAATCTTTGGTTCCTTTTGTGTAAAAACATCTCTTCGGTGATTTCGGAGGAAAATCATCGGTTGATGGACGTCTTGTTTCCTGTCCCAGCGAAAGCCGTCCGGGAGATATCCCTGGCATATCCAAAACATAGATCTAAAAAGTATCTAAAACATGTGTTGCCCCACAGGGCTTCTACATGTCGTGAGGAGGTTGCAATGTACACCTAGACCCAAGAGTTTTGGCTAATCTTATTCCAGTAATCCCCTAGATGCTGAAAAGTGTTTCTAGGATCTTACTTTGATGATATTTCCCTCATACTTTCCAGATGTCCAGGACGCATATGTTCCGCATCTTTTTGGGGATTGCGACGTAATTTCCATGGTGATTTCCATGGTGTGTCTTCCACGTTTTCCTAGTCCCCATAGATTTGTCCAGCTTTGTTTCCCCATGGACTGGCGGTGGTGTTCCGCCTGGAACATGGCGCTGGTCTTGCCGGCGGTGTCATCGTCTCCCACGGCCCACATCTCGAAGTAGTCTTCCTCAATGACCTGTGGCAGGGCTCGGGGCGCTGAAGTGATCTGATTGAAAAAAAAGGGACATGGCAGATTTCAATCTGAGACTTGCGAAGTGGCAGGCTATTTGAAACATTTTGAAACAAAGATTTCGGAGACGCCAACGTGCAGAGATGGGAGGCAACAAACACTAGCTTTGGAACCGTAAGTAGATCTACCAAATGGAGGCATCCGAAGAAAAGAAGACATAAATAAGGCATATAGCATCATATAGCCAACAATAATGAGCGCATCTGAGTCTGTGTCATAATGCTGCGTGCAAACAACTTTGCCTAGCTGCCTAGCTCTCCCTTCCTGCCTCCGCCCGATAGAGGCCATCGAAAAAGGCTTCAAGCAAGGCACTTGCCGGAGAAAGCCTGCGGCTCCAGAAATGAAAACAGACATTTGGTGTACCCTCTGGTAAACTAACATAACAATGGAAAATCACCATTTTTAATGGGAAAATCCACTATTAATGGTCATTTTCAATAGCTACGTTAAATTACCAGAGGGTAGCCAAAACGCAGCGAGAAAAACCGGCGCAGCCGCCTTGGCAAACCCATCTTGCTGGCAACCCTCTGAGCCTCAATGAGGACCTTCACCTGAGCAGGCACCCAGAGCTACCATCTATCTCCATCGGTGCGGCTTGGTCAGATTCGAGGATCAACTCACCGAAGGTGGATGCTTTGAAGACTCAAACGACTAAAACCATCACCTACCTTGGCTTTCTGTGTATCAAGTTATGACATCTCTGACCTCGGCACTATCACACCAAAAATGCCAGGCTGAGGTCTTCAGCTGCTTCAGTCATGATTCAAACATGTTGGGCCAACCCAAAGCAGGCTGGGAAAGAAACCTATGTTGGATCATTGTACCCTAATGTGGTAAAACCTGACTATAAACCTACCATTTGGGGATGGTTTATACCACCCATTTCTGGCAATATCGATCCTCATTAAACCTGGATTAAACCTGGTGCAACCCCAACCATCAACAGCTGCCCTGAGTAGCCTTGAATCGCCGGATGCCCGACTTCTCAATCAGGCCTTGGCAGCTGGGGCCTGTTGTGCCCGTGGATTCAGTTCACCCTCGGGTCCCGGAACGAACACATGATCATCGATGAAGTGGGAGCAGACCCTCACTACAAAGAAAAACACGGAACTTGAAGTTCAGCCCTAAATTCCCCGCCTTTTTTTGTGGCACGTCCAGTGTCCAGCCCTCCCAAAACTTCGGTTCCAAAAGCACCGAACTTTGGTTCCAATCCATCCACCCCTGAGAGCCCCTGGCAGTTGAGCATGGGCGCCCAGGACTTGATCAAGCTAAAGACCTCATCGTCCTGGCTGTAAAAGGACCTTTTTACCCTGTTTTTTCTCATGGTTTTTGCTTGAAAAGTGCAGGGAAATGTCCAAGAAACTTCAAATGTCTGAATTTCTGGAGTTTTCTGAAGGGTCATTTTTCCAGGTTCCAACTTCCCCCACCCAAACTTTCAAAACCTGGCCCACCTGCTTGCCCCTGCAGTGCTGCATCAACATCTCATTGAGACGAGCGATAGGATGCACCGTGCTCCACTCATCCTCCGTCAGCAGTTCGTCCACCTTTCGATGGAAGTTCTGGAAATGACCGGAGGATGCTGATGTCAATGGATTGGTTGAAGGGAAAATCTTAACCGGAAACCCTGGGTTTTTACCATCAAATTGAATGGGGCTTCCGGTGAAAAGTTTCCCGTCATCCAATTCTGTGCTGATGATGCGACCGGATGTGTCGCTGTCGGAGATGCTGATGCGACCGGATGTTTGAGGTTCGATTTTTTGATATTTTTTTCGAGGATTCATTCTGATCATTTTGCCAATGGATTGATAGTCGATAGTACACGCGAAGTGATATTTAATAACTGATCATGCTGAACACGGGGCTGAACATGTTCCACTGGACTTTGGAAGCAAAGGGAGCCATAATCGTGGGATTCTCAAGGTCCTGAATTTGACGTGTGCGTCATAGGGAACCATAGGAACCCCACCATCCTGTGCACCTCATCGACAAGTTTCTCCACGTTGCCATCCTCCTGGCTTGGCTGGGGTCCAATACCAGGCTCGCCCATGTGTCTCTCATTTCTGCAAGCTGAGATCCCCATGGTTTTTCTTGGTAAATCTCTCCATCTTCGATGCGGGAGGCCCCATGTATACATTTTAAAGCAACATTTTCCACCATCATTCCTGGCTTATCTCCTCATATTTTGAAGCTTCGAAGAAAGGTTCCAAATGTCGGAATTACCCAATGCCATATCGCCAAAATCACCAGTGTTATGGGTAGTAGAAACCATCCCCAGTCATTTTATAGTTGATCATGGCAGCCAGGGGTTTCCAGCATAACTCCCACATTAATCAGTACCTAGGAATAGATCATGAAAAGACCATTAAAACTTTTAAAAATCCCACATGAATCCCATCTTTCTGGCTTCAAAACCCCATGGTTTTCTCACCCAAAATAGACTCGGACTCGGCCCAGTCCTTGACGAGCTCCTGGCAGGTCTCAACGAAGCTGGTGATCTTGGAGGCATCGAAGACCTGATGCCACGCATCCAATGGATAGCCTCTGGTTATTTTTTTGGATAAACTTACTGGTGCTTCGTACCTAGGGAATGGGGGTTGATGGGATGATTATCACAAGTGATTATGGCATTTTGTTTGTTAAAGATGGTAACTGACTGATGATGAATGGCTCTTTTTTGGGGGGTTCCAAAAATGGGGATACCCCAATGGCTGGATGGCAAAAAAAAACATGGAAAATCCCCATCTATAAATGGATGAGAACTGGAGGTACCCCTATGACTTTGGAAACCTCCATATGATGGTGTTTACTGTGATGAATGGAAAAATGAATGGTGATTAATGGTTAGTCATGGTTGTTCATGGTTATTAATGATATACGCCTGGAAGTCATGGGATTTCACAACGAAAACTAGGGAAATCACCTTCATGATATGACTAAGGATGTGGATTTGGAGAGATATACCCTCTGGTTTGACGCTTCGCGAACTGGAAATCACCATTTGCAAAAAAAGCAAATCTCAACATTTTTTTTCATAGAAATCATAGCTATCTTAAATCACCAGAGTCACCGGAAAAAATTGCTGGAGTGTTTCCCCCAGCAACTGTTCTTCGAGCTTCGATCCATTTTCCACCCCCGAAGGTAGGTCATAGATGGTATTGTCTGGGGGAACACTTCCAAAACCAGTGGCTTTCGCGTCGCAACGGACATGTTGCGACGTGCGTTTGGGCTGCGCCGTGCTTCCCATCTTTTGAGACAGACCCAGATCAGAACGGGGAAGCCTATCTTGAGACAAACCTAACGAAGTATCGAATGCACAAACTATGGGAATACTAGGGACAAACTCGCTCTACGAATGCTTACTACCTGCATCCGGCCGGGTTTGGAGGTGCTTAACCCACCTAAAAACTAATGGAGGAAATATGGGAATGGCTCAATATCTGTGGACCCATGCTATTCACATCCCCAAAAATGTCTTGACGTGAGCAGCTACAGTACCCATGTCACAGGTTTGGACCTGTGAAGAAACATGATGAGAACCACACTAAGCCCTTGTAAATTAGACATGAATAGCCGCTAAGCCCAGGACCTGGCCTGCTTTTTGCCCGAATTCTGGGAGGATTTCTTCTGGGCTTGGCTCGCACCTGGGAAATGTCGGGCTAAGGCCTTGTCCACGGATGGGATGAGCTGGAAATTTCAGAGATTTCTGATTGGTGGTTGACCTACCACCATGAAAAATATGAGTCACTTTGGGATCATAATCATTTCAGGTAGGATTGAAAATGAAAAAAAATACCCTCTGGTAAACTAACATAACTATAGAAAATCACCATTTTCAATGGGAAAATCCACTATAAATAGCCATTTTCAATAGCTATGTTTAATTACCAGAGGGTATGTCACTAAGCAGATTTCTTGTGGTTCCCAAGCTACTTCAGCGAAACTCCTTTCGGGAACACCTTCCCATGGCCGTGATTGGGAAGTGACTCTGAGATCCTCTAGTCCCATCCCCCTAGTCTTAAAACAGCCCCAAATGGTTCTATAGATGCGTACATCCCCTACTAAACCATGGTTTCTGGGGGGGTGTTTAGTATTAGAGGGATTGGTTTTTTGGAGAAATTCGTCATTTTCTGGTGATAAGTTATCGACTGCCAACCATTCTCAGGGTTACTCTCAACGCCCCAGGTACGGTGGGGAAACAAAGTAGATAAGATGTGAAATGACCGATTTCCCCCGGGATCAATTTATAGACTTCAATTGGAAATATAGTTATGTTATTATGGGTTTTATATCCCATATGTTATTTCAATTCCATCAAAATTCCCATTCATATCTCATTCATATTCCCCCCATAGTTGGTAATATTTCCCAGAAAAATATCATATCCCTATGTGAAATGGTTAAAGGGTCAAATCATGTTAAATCCCTATTCTTCATGGTGCTTGCCCACCAGTTTTACCACAAATCCCTACAGGATGGTGCCCCCTCAGTTATAAGTTGGCTTACAACCCCATCAAAATATAATCATAAGTATCATACACACTATTGTTATAACATAGTTATAAATCAACCTAGTCAACTATGGGGCCCCATCCTGCAAAACTTCAAAAAACGTTGGGCCGAGGCCGAAAAGTCTGCCGCGCGACTCTTCAATGCCTCTCTCTTCTCTTTTGCTTCGGCCTGCAGCCATTTTCTCAAGGGGATTACCTACCAGGTGCTACCAGGTGCAGGGGAAGAATAGCATCACTAATGGTATTAGTGATGCTGGATATAATACTGTAGTTTTCTAAGAGTAATACTAGTAATAAATACTAGTTTACTAATAGTAATCAGTGATTCATAATAGTAATCATAGTACCATCATAGTAAGAACATCGATTTTTTCTAATAGTCAACAATCAGCCAATCTGCAAAAACCAACAAGAACTGACAAGAGAACACCAGGACCTGTTCGAAAGCTGGATATAGACCCCGATTTCAGTTGACAGAGGCGGCCCAAACATTTTAGCTTCGGCAATTTAGCGTATGCCTCCAGAAAGAATGGGACGACCATACCCTGATGATGCACAAGGCTGGCGCCTCTACCATCTGGTCAACTAACATAACTATGGAAAATCACCATTTTTCATGGGTAAATCCACTAGAAATGGCCATTTTCAATAGCTATGTTAGTCATAACCAGAGGGTACTCATGATGGTTTTTATGTGGCGGTCTTGTTGTCACTTGTCACTTGCCGCCTTGCGAATATCAAATCAACGGAATCACTTTTTTGGTCGCTCTTCATGGGCCAAAGCATTCAACATATGTTCTTGAAGTGAAACAACAACAACAACCAACAACAACAACAACAAACAACCAACAACCAACAACCAACAACAAACAACCAACAACCAACAACAAACAACCAACAACAACAACAACAAACAACAAACAACAAACAACAACAACAAACAACAAACAACAAACAACAAACAACCAACAACCAACAACAAACAACCAACAACAACAACAACAAACAACAAACAACAAACAACAAACAACAAACAACCAACAACCAACAACAAACAACCACCAACAACAACAACAACAACAACAAACAACAAACAACAAACAACAAACAACAAACAACAAACAACAAACAACAACAACAAACAACAAACAACAAACAACAAACAACAAACAACCAACAACCAACAACCAACAACAACAACAACAAACAACAACAAACAACAAACAACAAACAACAAACAACAAACAACAAACAACAAACAACAAACAACAAACAACAACCAACAACCAACAACAACAACAACAACAACAACAACCAACAACAACAACAGCAACAGCAACTGCAACTGCAACTGCAACTGCAACTGCAACTGCAACCACAACCACAACCACAACTACAACTACAACTACAACTACAACTCATCTTCCCCATGTAAATATTTGCCATAGTAAATATAGCTGGTTACATATCCCATCAAATATCCCCAGTAGGAATCCCTATTTTGATTGGTTAAATCATACAGTAGTTTAATCCCCAACTGGGCCTCTTTGGCCACTTTCATCTCCAACTTGCGCTGCTTGTCGGCCTCGGCCTGTAGCTCCAACTGTTGTAATTAGCAAAGCTGGCTCAGTCCACAATTTTCATGAAATCCCAACTGTTGTAACTAGTTCTCTCCATCTCGAAAAACATGGTCCCGGTCGAAAAAGAGAATCTCAATCATTTTCAATCCATTTTGAAGCTTTGCACAGTGCAAAACGTCCAGATCCAGGAGCCGCAGGAGCCTTTCTGGCTTCTTCCTCGCGCTTCTTTTCCTTGCGCGCTTCCTCCTCCCGATGCCTGCGCTCCTCCTCTGCCTTCTGTCTGCCTCAGCTATGAGTGAAGGAGCACTTGAGGGACCTATCCCCATATACCCAGAGTGCATCTATTCATATCTCCAGCCCGGAAACAGTAAACAATGGTTGGCACACCATTTCCTGGTGTAGTCCAGGAAGGGCTTTTTTGTTGCATCATTTTCTAGTGATGTCAGTAACTGACCCAAAAACTTTCCAAAATTCGAAGCCCAGGAGCTGCGAATTTCTTCTTTCTTTCGCTCCTTCTCCTGGGCCGCCGGGAGCTATGGCTATCCCAGTCATAAAGCTATAAACCAATGGATTATGGTATCATCCCATAAACCTATACCAGTCATAAAACTATACTGAGGGGAAAACTATTATGATGCATCATCCCAATCGTTTGCGACCTGGATGCAGAAGAGTTGTCCCCTCAGTCCTATATTCCGACCATGAATCAGCCATCCCTGGTTCAACCAGAATTTCGTGGCACACCTCTGCAATATCGAGGTTACATTCACAGGTTAAACTATAGCTGGTGACCCCATCAACTATCCCCAGTAGGAATCCCTATTTTGAATGGTTAAATAGTTCCATCCCTACTTTTCCATGTTGAAATCACCCGGCGGTGCCGCCTCCTCCATCTGCCTGTCCATCTCCCGCTGCTTGTTCCGGCGGTCTTCCTGTTCCCTGTCGCGCTGTTCCTTCTTCGCCGCCTAGAGGCGACAAGGAAGCCGAGAGTGGAATTCCGCGACCAACAAGAACCATATTATGTATATGTGTATATATATATATATATTCTAGTCTATATATATATATATATTGCAAGTTTCTATTGGCTGCTAAGCCCGAGCCCTTTCAGCGAATTTCTATCCTGCAAGAATGTTGTAACAGTGTACATACCATGCACATGTATGTGTCTTAATCATCTTCGTTGCTGGTGTCAAAAAATGCCTATGCATTACCAGTATTACTAGCTGCATTCCCATCATTCTACCATTGGCTAGCTCCAAAGTTGGGGATAGACAAGTTCGATTCTTACTTCCCTTGCCCAGTCTGAAAATAGATCCCAATTCGATGTTTGGGACACTCTACCGTGCTGTGCATGCATTGAAATTCGTGATTTTTGCGATTGAAACATATACAAAGCACGGCAAATGCGCTCCATGTTTTAGGTCGAGTCATAGTAAACACAATAAATACCGACATTCTTGTGGATGTTTCGAACACATTGTAAGTCACAGCATGCGTTTGTTCCTTTTGAAACGAGTGCCGGCGTGCCTTTGTGGTGTTTAACCAGCCGGCCCCTCAAATCCACCGAATCTCACCCGAATCCGCGGCCGTATCATGGGAACATATGGGAACTTAACGGTTAAAGTGTGTATTAAGTCGCAGTGATTTTTGATGGCTTACTTTTATCCAAACTTTCTCCCAGTTTTTGTCATTTTTCGATCATAAATCCAGTGAAATCCCCAGGATTTGGAAGAACTGCCTCCTCTTTCATCTCCCTGAGCTTTGCAGAAGGGATAAACTTGCCGCCAGTGCCGCCTTGCTGAACAGCTGGCTGAGCTGTTGTCTTTTGAAGGTATAGCAACCCAGAGAAAGAAAAAAAAAGTAAAAAAACCTTTAAAAAAAAAACGCTAAAAGTGAGCGAGAAAAATGGCGTTGCTATTTCTTGGGAGTTGCTAAACGATGAAAAATTGCCACAATGATATTGAGAATGGGTACTCCATGCGGGTAGAGGCATCTCTAGGACATCTGCAGGCTGTGTTTAGCCACAGATGGAAATGGGGTAAGCAAGAAGAATCCCATCCAGCGAATATAAAACACCCCGTGAGAGACAGCATGGTGTAGGGAAATTCCACATCTTTGCATCTTTGCGACCATAAAATGGGATAGGGGGAGAATTGGATTGGAAAATTCCATGGATTGGTGTACGGAAAAATGCTCGCAGGCAACCATTGTTTCTGCACCCCCAGAATATTTGGGGTGTCCCACAGGCATGTCCCCCCAACATCTTCCCAGCGGGCCACTGAAGACCAGCCTAATGCAGCCGCAGGCTTCTTGTCTTCGCTATCCTTAGGCTCCTGTGACGACTGGGACTTTCAATTGGGGAACATGGGGCCATAGCGGGTCAGCAGGTCCTCATCCTCTATTCTGGGAGCCTGGATCTGGAAGGTACACAGGCGGCAAAGCTTGATGAATACATTCAGAATTGGGATAGATTGTGCGATAGCTACAGAGACAAAAAAAGAAGAACACAAACAGAAATCGGAAACGAAGACGTTTTTGCCGCTGGAAAAATCCTGCAACATTTAGCGGGGAACGAAAAAAGAAGAACATGACGGGTATACTGGTAGAATTACCGTACCCAAAGCAGAGTGTTTGCAACAGCCGTGAGTATCTCACCCATGTACGTTGGTTTCTGAGAATAGGTGTAACCCATCAAAATTCACAAAAAAAAAGCAGGGATTCGGCCCACATCAACATCTCTTGTAACGCTTCAACCACCGCCGACCCCCCAAGATCGCTGTTCAGCTTCCCCGCCTCACCGCCTTCAGTAATCTTAGTTTGAAACAAGGTGGGGTCCCACTGGTGGGAGCAAAGTGGGTTGGGCCATCCTTCACTGATTCGAGGGGCTCAGCCACAACTTCAGGAGCCGGAACGCTCAGCCAGAACTGTTCATTCTTGGGTTTGCACGAAGTAACTAAGCTACTAGCCATACTAGCCATAGTGTTCAAAACTTTTCTCTACCCATGCTAAGACTTCCTTTACAGCTCCAGTTGAGGCATCAAAAAAATCCCCAATCGCCCAGCGAGTAGAATTCCCTATATAATAACCCATCAACTACAAGGTCGCACCCCCCAGTTATAAGTTGATCTGTAAACCCCATTCCCCTATAAGTTTCAAACGTCAACCAAGTGATGAAAACACCAACATAGCGGTCGTGGCCACAGGAGCCATGACTCAGATCCCGGAAAGTCGTCCCCTGCCCAGCAACCGGCTTGCTTCGAGGCTTCAAGTTCAGCCGTGGCCGCTCGTCTCCGCCGCCGCCGCCACCGCCGCCGGACCGCCAATTGCCTCAGGTGAAACCGACTTTGGGGTCTCCCACCTTTCAAGGGAATACTATGGGTACAGGGTGGGGCGCCAAAGTTAGCTAAGTTGGTGTATAACTCCAATGACGTTTTTTTGTTGATTAGGCCGTAAGGCCTAATAAACTATGAAAATCATTTTAAAGACGAAACATGCTAAAGCCCTCAAAATGTGAGCCTCAAACCCAAAACATAAAGGTCCAACATGTTATGAACCTTAGACCCCACACATCGATTTACCAGAAGGCCCAAGAATCTATAAAACTTAAGGCCCCAAAATTATGAACTTGAAGGAAACTTAAAAATTCTGTGAACTTGAAACCCAAGTTTAAAAAAAAAAGCCTTACTTACTGCTCCAAAAGTTGAAAGCCCTTACAAAAAATATGAATCTGAAACCTCAAAAAAATCATCCTTGAAGCCCAAAAATCGATCACGTTCAAAACCAAAAAAAACGATGAACATTGGAACAACAAAATCAATTAACAATGAGGTCCAAAAATCTAGATGCCTTGAACGGTACACTCCCCAAAGTGTATGAACAAAAAAACCATAAACCTGGAGATCCAAACCTCCAGGAACCTGAGCCAAAAAAAATCTGAAACTTCAAACTCCAATAAATAAAATTTAACGCTCCGAAGTAGTCTGGGAACCTTTAATTCCTAGAAATGTATGAACCTGAAACCTGAAACCCTAAGAATCTATGATCCTGAACCACCAACAAAAAGTAAATTTTAAGGCCAGAACATCGGTGAGGCGTAAACCCCCAAACCCATGAACCTTGAACCAAAAAAACATGTAGCTGAACCCAAGTCTGAAACTCAGTCCAAACTTGAGCGTGGAGACCAAGAAGTTTATGAACCTGAAGGCCACAGAAATACGTTTTATTGGTGACCACAGCTATTTACTCTCAACATGCCCGTCAAGACACTTCCACGCGCGAACATGTGCTAATACTGGTTTTGAAAACTCTTGCGAAGACTGCATGACTCCCAAAATTGTTGCATAGAAACATGTTTTGTTTTGTTTCGGCATTGTTTGGCAACTGAATTCTTTCACATTTTTTTGTGCCTTCATACATATCATATATTACAGTTTTTGATTTGTTTGACCCATTTGGATCGTTTGTGTGTTTTTTGACTTAACCCCATGCTTCTCATCTATACCCAAACTGATCTGTATTCCGTACTGTACTTGCTGATTATTCAGGCAAAAAACATACGACTAAGGCTCTGTCTATATATGAATCTCATGTTCTTTTCAGCCACACCCAGGACATCATTTCAGGTCTGAGGAATCCTGTTTAGTATGAAATCCTGCTGTTACCTAGCCAAATCTAGCCATGTCTACTAAATGTCTACGTGTTTTTTGTGATTTCACACTGTTTTTTCACCAGGTCATGAAAATCATGTTCATCAAAATCAAAATCCAAAATCACCAGCCATGGGGTGAAAAACCCTTCTGTGCAAGTCTGCAGCCCTTAGCGTTACTTTCTACGTTTAGCGCAAAATCTCGCGAAAAAAACCAATTAGGGGTGATAAAATTATAGTTTGAGGGGATTATCAACCAACAAACATAAGTGGCGGGGCGCACCACCCTTCTGGATAAGTGATAATCATTCACTAACCTGAATTCAGACCATTTTGGAATACTTCCGTCCTACTAACCATCATTCCAATGAGGTCGTCCTTTTTTGTCTAGAGTCGTACTGTATGTAAATGGATTGAATTGAGGGAAAACTTGGCCAAAACCCTGGTGTTTTACCCCAAAACATCAAGAGTGTGGGATCCAAAGCATCGTGATTTTCACCGGAAATCCTCGTCCAAATCATCCAATTCTGAGGACATTCTGCTCCATTCAGATGAGGAAACTCTTCAGCTGGGCCCCTCTGGGTGACCGGAAGGGTCCCCAGGATTTCCCCATCAGGGTGGCATCCAATTGCAATCTCACGGTCAAGCTATCGACTTCCCCCCATTTGTAGGTTGGGAAAGCCATCCTGATCAATCGAAAAAGCTCTTCTTTCTGCGGACCTGGGTCTGGAAAACTCACATGGCAATGAACATGATCCGATCTTCACATGGTCTTACAATAAACAAGGGATTAAGGTTTACCAACCCTCTTCAGCCACGTCTATACCGCCCCTTTCCCAAGCGAGCTGCCTTCATCGGCGCGGCTACCTCCTGGCAAGGCAAAAAAAACACACAGGAGATCCCATGAAATACCCCCGCTTAAACCCCAAAATTTCTTGGCTCCCCACAAATCCCATGAACTATCCCCATACGAGTTTCCCTCATGAGAAAATAACCTACAGTAAAAATATTCTTGCTATCCAATCTTCATCCACTCAATTCAGAAAATCCCGGTGAACCATGATGAAATCCCGAGAACATTTTTCACGCTCAAAATCCCCATTTTTCGGCCTCGATCGCCTCCTCGATCGCCTCCTCGATCGCCTCCACGATCGCCTCCACGGTCGCCACGGTCGCCCCGGCCGTCGAAGTTTCTCCGATCACCGAAGCCGCCGCGCCGGTCGTCGTCGTCGCGGCGACCTCGCCAGGGCGACGGAGGCACCGGGTGCTCTGGGGACAACCGGTTTCGTGAAGGACACGTCTGGTTTCTGGGAGAAAAACCATGGGAAAATTCAGAGAATCAAAATGAGTTCTGGGAAATCTGATTAAATTTGACAATTGATCTAGAATTTGCAAGCCGAAAATGGTGATTTCATCTGCCAGAAGATCAGGAAGGACACCTGAAATTGGTGCTGAGACCTGGGGTTTCTAGTGGGTTCCGATTAAATTATTCAGAAAAGGTTGGAACATCTGTACTTTAAAAAAATGTGAAAAATCTGCGTGGTTTGACATGGTTCGGCCATCTTCCACAGGATGTCAACTGAACCATGATACAGGTTTGGAAAATGCCTTCTTAGGATATTCTGTCACGGATTTCAGATCTTGCATCAGAGCGGAGACAGGTTTGGCCATCCAAGAGACCCATGCTACCTCGCCAATCGTCGTCCTTTCCGGCCTGACATCATGTCGCAAAAAAAAGGCCACAAGAAGAAAGATCACAAACTCGTGAACACGGAAGATAAATGTGTATAATACATATATATATATATATATACGGCAAATGCCTGGGTTTTGCCCGGACCCGCAATGACGACGGGCGACGCATCATCATCATTATCATCATCATCATCATCAACATCAACATCATGTTCATCAACATAATCATCATCATCATCATCATCAAACCCTTATTGACGATCTTCAATGAATGTAGAAGTTTAACGAGGGTGGGAGAATTAAACCCTTATTGAAGATCTTCAATGAATGTAGAAGTTTAATGGGGGTGGGAGAATTAAACCCTTATTGGAGATCTTCAATGAATGTAGAAGTTTAATGGGGGTGGGAGAATTAAACCCTTATTGAAGATCTTCAATGAATGTAGAAGTTTAACGGGGGTGGGAGAATTAAACCCTTATTGAAGATCTTCAATGAATGTAGAAGTTTAAAAGGGGTGGGAGATTAAACCCTTATTGAAGATCTTCAATGAATGTAGAAGTTTAACGGGGGTGGGAGAATTAAACTCGTATTGAAGATCTTCAATGAATGTAGAAGTTTAACGGGGGTGGGAGTTTAATATTCCCTAATATCTTTGTTGATCTTCCCAATTGAATGTAAAGCTTAACGGGGGTGGGAGTTTAATATTCCCTAATACCGTTTTGTTTTTCCCATAGGAATTTCGGGTGTTTTGACATGTTTTTTATATAGTCCCTAGTACCTTTGTTGTTGTCCCCATAGGAATTTAAGGTTTAACGGGGGTGGGAGTTTAATATTCCCTAATATCTTTGTTGATCTTCCTAATTCAATGTTAAGTTTCACGATTTGAGAGTTTAAAATTTCCTAGTACCTTTGTTGTTTGTCCCATAGGAATTTCAAATGTTATGCCGTTTTTGCTTTTCGCATAGGAATTTGGGGTGTTTTGACCTTGTTTGTTTAATAGTCCCTAGTACCTTTGTTATTTTCCCCATAGGAATTACGGTAATTTGCAACATCATTTGTTTGTGAATGGGAAACCTCTACGCTGCAACGCCTGGGCAAAACCCAGGCGTTGTGCTTATATATACATAATATATATATATATGAATATGTATGTATTTATCACTAATCCCATCCCCAGATTATATTAATATCCCCAATAACGACACAAAATGAACAGATCCCAAAATAGATAGATACTTGTCTGATCTGTCTGTCTGTCTGTCTATCTATTGATCTATCCATCTATCCATCTAGATATGTATAGATAGAGATAGATAGAGATAGATAGATAGATAGATAGATAGATAAATAGATAGAGATAGATAGATAGATAGAGAGATAGATAGATAGAGATAGATAGAGATAGATAGAGATAGATAGAGATAGATATGAGATAGATAGATAGATAGATAGAGATAGATAGAGATAGATAGAGATAGATAGAGATAGATAGAGATAGATAGAGATAGATAGAGATAGATAGAGATAGATAGATAGATAGATAGGTAGATAGATGGATAGATAGATAGATAGATGGATAGATAGATAGATAGATAGAGAGATGGATTGGATAGAGAGATGGATTGGATAGAGAGATGGATTGGATAGAGAGATGGATTGGATAGAGAGATGGATTGGATAGAGAGATGGATTGGATAGAGAGATGGATTGGATAGAGAGATGGATTGGATAGAGAGATGGATAGAGAGATGGATAGAGAGATGGATAGAGAGATGGATAGAGAGATGGATAGAGAGATGGATAGAGAGATGGATAGAGAGATGGATAGATAGATGGATAGGATTAGATAGGATTAGATAGGATTAGATAGGATTAGATAGGATTAGATAGGATTAGATAGGATTAGATAGGATTAGATAGGATTAGATAGGATTAGATAGGATTAGATAGGATTAGAGAGGATTAGATAGGATTAGACAGGATTAGACAGGATTAGATAGGATTAGATAGGATTAGATAGGATTAGATAGGATTAGATAGGATTAGATAGGATTAGATAGGATTAGATAGGATTAGATAGGATTAGACAGGATTAGATAGGATTAGATAGGATTAGATAGGATTAGATAGGATTAGATAAGATTAGATTAGATTAGATAAGATTAGATTAGATTAAATTAGATTAGATTAGATTAAGATTAGATTAGATAAGATAAGATAGATAGAATAGATAAGATAGATAAGATGGATAAGATAGACAAGATAGAGAAGATAGAGAAGATAGAGAAGATAGAGAAGATAGAGAAGATAGAGAAGATAGAGAAGATAGATAAGATAGATAAGATATTCACGTCGCTTCGCGACGGCAACCGCCCGCACCGCATCGTTGGGCTCACCGATAGATAGATAGAGAGATATATCTATATATATATATAAAGATCATATATGTACATATCGAGTGAACGGTCCACACTGTTAATGATGTCAGCCATTGTTCTCTTCTACTGCCATTGTTCTCTTTTATTGCCGTCGCTCCGCGACAAGAACCCCTGTGCGGCCGCCACGGTTTGAACGATGTCGTTCTCACACCTTCGCGACCGCTCGTAACTGCCAATGATGTCGGCCATTGAGACCAAAAACATCCGAAAGTACTGATTGTCGGAAAAAAAACGCGAAGAATTTGATAGCCATGTATAGCGGACCAACGCAGTTCAAAAAATAACGAAAAACATGAAAAAACGGCGAAATTGCTGTTATTTACAGTGTTTTTGCGCGGTGAGAAGCAGAAACCACTGCAAATACCATGGTTTTTGAGGGTCAGGTGGCCAAAAACACTGTAATTTACAGTGTTTTTTTAACCAACGTCAAAAAACACTGGTATTTACGATGTTTTCATTCACACCGTAACATAAAACAGCGTAATTTACGAGGTTTTTGGAAGTTTTGAAGCTAGCCGTCAAGCATGCAGAAAACAGAAAAACACTGTAAAAACCAGTGTTTCTGCTATCACAAAACGACGAAAATCAGTCCGAAAACGGGTCCAAAAACTCAAAAATCCGCCTCCGGGCCAGGCCACCTGCGGAACCGCAAAAAAAGATGTTGCAAACCAAAAAATTGAGGTCAAAAAGTTGAAAAACACAGGGTTTTTTCACTTTTCGCTTGCCGATTTTGGACGGGCGCGTTCACGAACAGGTGTCTTCCGTACTGTTTTTTACAGTGTTTTTTGAAGGCGAGCGTCACAACCTATCAAAAACAGGAGGTTTTGGCCGAAAAATGCCCCCCCCCCAGGTAAACCTGTAACCTTTTACGAGTGCCATCCGGACGATCACGCCCCAGCACCTTCGGTGCGGGCGGATTTGGTTAGCAGACAAGCAGATGACAGACAGACAGACGGACAGCCAGCCAGCCAGCCAGCCAGACAGACAGATAGATAGATAGATAGACATTGTTTTGCTCACTTTTTGCAGGTCATAGACCCATTTTGCCTGGGTGGTGTCCTCTCGGTCCCGACGGCCAAATCCGCCGCCGCCGCCGCGGTCGCCGCCAAAGCCGCCGCGGTCCCCGCCAAATCCGCCGCGGTCGCCACCGCGATCACCGCGGTCGTCCTGACGAAACAGGCTCGGTAGGGACTTACAGCTGGGGTACCCTCTGGTAATTTAACATAGCTATTGAAAATCACCATTTATAGTGGATTTTCCCATTAAAAATTGTGATTTTCCATAGCTATGTTAGTTTTCCAGAGGGTATACACCCTGCCCTTTCTGATGGGTTTTGCCATCCGAAATCAAGGATTTGACAACCAAAAATAGAGAGATCTATGGCTTGAAAGGTGGTCTAAACCTGTGGAAATCAGCAGACTAAACAATAAAGAAAGGACCAAGAATCGAACGTATAGTGAAGTGAATCTGCATATTTCTTGCTTCACCAAGGGACCCAAAATATTGATCACCAACTAAGGGGATCCCTAAAAAGATAGGAAATTCCGAATCACATTTTGTTGGGTGCCGCGCAGCCACCCTGTTCAAACCCAAGACAGTGAAAGCAAAGCTTCATAGGTCATGCGTTGCCGTTGGTGTGTGAAGTGTTTTTTTGATTGTATCATTGACAATTTCAACTTCTATATCTCGCTATCCCCAAATGATTAAAATGATTATTCACCTCCATACCCCGTTGTTGATGACAGTATATGACACTTGGTCTTTCACACGTCTTGACTCCTCAAAACTTGTAAATCACTACTCTATCTCCTCAGAAAACTTGTAAGTAGTTCACCAACCAAAAGTGTTGTGTATCTATCCCATATCCTTCGGTAATTTAACATAGCTATTGAAAATGGTCTTAGAAATAGTTGCTTTACCCGTTAAAAATGGTGATTTCTCCATAAGTTATGTTAGTTTGCCAGAGGGTACCAATCCCAAAGTTCAGTACTGAAACCTTCCAAGGTGGTGCCTCCCCGGCCCCTCAATGGCCCCCCCCCCAACGGCTCACCCTACCACCGCCGCGCCAGTCGCCGGTGTCGGCCCGACTGGGCTCGCCGTCGCCCTTGCCTGAAAAAATGGCGAGCGCTGCTTGGATCCTTCACATGGAGACATATGGGGATTATGGAGATATATAACAATATTATGGAATAAGGAATCTATAACAATATTATGGGGATTATGGATTATATAACATTGACATAATATCCTACTTGGGGATTATGGGGATATTATGGAATATATAACAATCTAAATTGATTAGATGGTGAACTCACATGCCTGGGGGAATCCACGACCCGGGGACTTGCAGTCCTAACCAGGATTTTTTTCACCGCCTTAAATGGGATTTAATGGGTGATTAGATGGGATTTATATGGGATTGACATGGGATTGATATGGAATTTTATGGATGATTAATGATGAATGGGATTCAATGCGATCCTAAGATTGAACAGCCCCACTCTATGGATCCCAAGCCCCATAAATCTCCTGGGGGTGGAGTCCAGCAGCTTTCATGACTCTATGACCATGGAAATAACCACCATAAGTTCGGATATATTGGGATACAACCCCTCTAACTATGCTTATATAACTTATATGTCTAAGTGGAAGCTTGAGCCCAAGGCACCCCAGTGGTTGTTGCTGGTTCAGAAGTCCTTAACTAACCTCACCGGTCACCTTTTTGGAGGCTGAAGCCAGGATCGGGTGTGGATTTCACCCTGTAGATATGGCAGACCCCAAACAGTGTGGGGGGAGAGGATAATGTATATAATATAATGTTGATGTTGATGATGACGAGGATGATGAGGATGATGATGATGATGATGATGATGATAAAGATGAAGAAACAAACAAAAAATCTAGATTGGAAGTATAGCATTAAACAAACTATGCTATATTGGCAAGTACGTTGCACAGCAAACGTGAGCAAACGCCACGGATTCTACATAGGGCCAGCTCAAAACCCTTTGGGTGTAAGATTTGGGAGTGGGCGAACGTCTGGGTTGGCACATACATGTAAAAATGAAATATAAAGCCAAACATATCATATGTGGATTTGTCCCTAACGGTTTCCGGCAGGAAACTGTACAATTTTGTTGATTTTACCCTCCAATAGATTAATGTGGATCATGTTCCTTGGTTTTTCCTTCGGGTTTTCCATATCTATGTTAATTTACTGAAGGGTACATCCTATTGCAGTAACTATACTAACTATTGGTACCGTTTCTTCTTCGTTGTCGTTGTCGTTGTCGTCGTGATCATCACCACCATCATCACCACCAGCATCATCATCATCATCATCATCATCATCCTCATCATCCTCGTCATCCTCCTCTTCTTTTGCTTTCTTGGTATGTGTGCTTCCTTTTAGTACAATCAATCTGGAGTATAAGAATTCGCGAACCTGAATTAAGGCCTGGAATGGGGATACCCCCACTAGCCATCATTCCAGTGAAATCGAGAGAGTAAATATTTATCCAGACAAGGTGGTGCAACCCCCCACTTAATAAGTTGGTTCTAAACCCAATTAACTATAGAAATGTCACCTAGATTTTTTCATAAACCATAAACCAATAAACCCAATCTACCATAAACCATAGAAATTTCACCACTCGGCAGTTCCTTCGTTCACCGAGGCACCCTTTCCTTTGCGCGGGCCGCTGCTTCGCCAGTCGTCCGCCTCACGGCCGCCATCGATGTCGCGGAAGCCCTTGCCTTGCCGCTGAAGCCAAAAACAGGTGGAAAATCTGTGAAACTTGCGTGAAAATCTACAAGGTGGTGCCCCCGTTCGATAGCTAAGTTGGTGAACATAACTCCAATAACTATGGTTTATGTGATATATCTATAGTTACTGGGATTATAACCCATTTATAGTTGGGGGGGCACCACCTTGTAGGAATATGGTGGGAAAATCTAGGACAAATGTGCATGAAAATCTGTAAAATCTAGGGAGATGCTGGGAAAATCTGGAAAATCAGGGGTAATTGTTTTGGAATATGTCTGGGAAATGTTGGGAAAATTTGCTGGGAGAAATGCTGGAAAAAAAACGGAAGTCGCTGAAAAATCCCAACAAACCCTGGTAGTGAACACTCGCATCTGCAGAATCAGCTGAGATGTTCATCCAGTCTTGTTGAGATTCGACCCACACCAAGACCGTCCCTTGGACCAATGACACCACGAAGCCCCCGTTTTCATCCCATCATGCGTTTGTCGGCCTTTCGCCTTGCCAAAGTCCTTTCCGACACTTTGGGAAGGCAGCTGCTGCTCCGCCTGTGGGGGGGTGAAATCTCATGGCCATAAATATAAATCCCTTGCCATGCCAGGGTAACCGCCATTTCATAGATCTTCAGGAAATCCAGGAATTCACTGATAGGTCTCTCATAGGTTTTTAAACTGCACCAATTCCCAACCTTTTTATGTAACTTCTTTGCATCCCAGGTGCCATGTTGCCACCAAACTTGGCGGCCAAATCCTGGGTGCGGGCTCCTAATTTCTGATCAAATGGCGGAGTTTGGCCAACTCTGACATTGTTGGAGTGATTTTTTTGGAAACCAAATCACCCTGATATTTTCTGGGTGAGCATGTTGAAAACTCAAAATATGTCCGCAAATCTCCTGAAGCCGCACTGAACTCACCCCTAAATATTGGAGCTTCAAAAACGGGTACTAGTTGTGTATGGCCCCTGACACAGCCCACAATGTACTTCTTGGGCCCTCATGTCAAGCCCTTGCGGATCCAAAAGAATGGTGTGGCTTTGAGGCTGCTTGGCTCAATGAGGAGGACCTTGATAGTGCAACAGTTGGATGATGAATGATGAATCATCCCTTTCTTAGTAACCCAGCCATTCCAGGTTCAGGTGACCTTGGATTTGATCTAAACATTATGATATCTGTCATTGTGTATAGGCTTTAACACTATTCTTCTAGATTCTATGCCCATGTTGGGGGCAAAATGATGATTCATATTATAACCATAAGTATTCTCCATACTTATATCCTCATAACTCATAAGTCATAAGCACAAGTAATATCCATAGTTTATGAACCAATGTATTCCTGGCCATCCAAAAATTGGGGTCAACTTCGGGATCTGCGTCGAGCCACCGCCATGGTCATCTTCTGCGCCGGTTTCTTCCCCATGGCTGCGGTTTCTTTCCTCAGGGCCAGGCATGAATCATCCCCAGCGGCATAGCAGAGGATGGCGGATCCCGGGGACCACCGTCCCTGTGATGTCCCGTGGGGCCCTAGCCACTTCCACTGCTGAAACCGCCTGAGGTCCCAGCCTTCAAAACACTTCAACTAGGACCACAAAAACTTGTTGCGAAAATCTAGGCCAAAACTGCGGAAGGTTCACGTGGCTCAGCTTGAACACTCACTGGGCAAAGCGCGGGGTGATGAGAAACGCAACTGCTGCAGTGCATGAGGGACTCTGAAGTTTTGACCCAGATTTTAAAAAATTGCAGAAATAACTGAACTTCACCCCCGAACCCAAAATGATGCAGCCAGGCGAAGCTCTGTTTCCAGCAATTCCCACACACTGGCGTTCCAGCTGCTTCTGGATCAGATTCGGAATGCGGAATTACCATCTGGTTATGACTAACAGTTTGCCATGGAAAATCACCACCATGCTATTAAGAACGGTGTGGCCCATCTATTTCGATTAAATCGCCATGGCTTAACCATGGCTAGCCCTGTTAGTCATAACCAGAGGGTGAGCCATGGTCAATACTCACAAAAAATGGTTGATGGTCATCCCATCCATAATAAGGATCCAAAAATAATGGTTATTATAAATCCCTATGAACCATTGGATGACTAGCCCCGTTTTTAATGGTTATTAACCATGAGTATTGACCAGTCGGCTCATGTCGGCTGGTGCATCCAATCCCTTGGATCCATCCGGGATCCGAGGGCTCTGACATCCGATTTTCGCTGCAGCAGCAATGGGGATTTCACCGTCGCTTCGACAATATATATATATATAGATATATATAAATATAGATGTTGACATCATTTGACAATATCAGTATCAATATCATCATTTGACAATGATTATACAATGATAATGAATAATAATAACAATAAGAAGAATTTGATTCAATATCATTCAATTCAATCATTTTCTCCTGTCAGGCGCCAACGAGGCGCACGGAGCAGCTGCGACGAAACAAAGGGCCCTGGAAACACCTGGCGAAAACAAGCGCCAAAGGGCTACCAGCAGACCTGCCATGATGGCCGGGACGGAAAGCGACTGGTGAAACCCAGGTGGCTGAAGGCGATCAGTTGGATTTGCTTGATATTTGAATATATTTGAATGGTTGTGGGTGTCTACCCAATCAAGTTGGATCTAAAATTCATGTTACATCATAGAGCGGATAAAATGCTGGGCACTAGCTTTCTCCTTGAGTTTGGTCTGAACTCTGGTTTGGAAACAAGAGTCTGTGACCAAGTTTGGTTATGCAAAATCGCTCGTTTCTTGAGAAGTCTACCCCTCCCAAAAACATCAAATCAAAGCCAATCAAAGGTGAAAATATGAAACTCCAGAAAGCATCTCAAAACCCTCTAAAGCTCCTCATGGGGGCGATAGGAACTCAACTGAAGTGTGAACAACTTCGAAGTCACATTTGAAACAAGAGAGACCTTGAGGGCCCAGAACAAGCTATTTAATTCATGGCTTTGCTGATGCTCTGCACATATTGGGGCCCAAGGGCCTCTCACGGCTTGACCGAGTCTCCCGCCGCAGCTTCTTTTTATCGGTATGAATCGATCGCTTCCAGAATCGCGGATTTCAACGCCGGCGCGAAGGAGGAAGAATGCCCGGCCAATGGCACCATCTTCAGCTGCGCCAAAGGCAAACGCTGACGCAACAGCCATGCATTGGCCGGAGGACAGATTAAATCATTCCGCCCGTGCAAAATGGTGCAAGGAATGTGCCCGATTCGAAAGCAGTCGGCCAAGAGTTGCTGGGCATCCATGAAGCAACCATTCCTGGCTTGGAAAACCCCCAAGAACTTGAAAAAAAATGACAATGACCATAGTTTCAACAAAGTGTTTGCAGGCTGGAATGTGTCCGGCATAGATGATGAACATTTGAAAGTCGTTGTGTTGAATTTATCAGTTGACATGGCTTTACCCTTAAGTATGGCGGTTTCATGTCATTTTCCCCTGATAGGTAGGCACCCAAAAAAATGGAAAGAGATAAAACCCGTTTCCCCCATCACAGCCAAAAGGTTTGGATGATTCAGGAAACCCCCGTATAGTTATACTAGTCATGGTTATTCATCACTATTCATCCACTATCACTATTCATCACAGTTCATCACTATATTCATCACTATATGATTAATAACGATATGCATCACCATCTTCATCACTATGAAATGAAAAGGACCATAAATATCATAAATCAGGACGAAGCTTCGCCATGTAATTCATCTCAATGGATGGCCCGTAGCCCGCTTCGTCCGGCTTCTGGGCAATCTCCTCGATGATGGCTTCGTCGGGGGAGACGCTCAACAGCCGCAGGATCCAACGTAGGTAGCTGGACATCGCGCTGCGACGGACCTGGCGCGCTTGGCGCTTGGCGGAAGCCCAGGATTCGGGAGGGAAAACTTCCAAAAACTGGAGATTTTTCGAAGGTGAAATCCAAGTTCTAGCGTGGTAACTCTGACTTTTCAATCTTTTTCCTACTATAAGATCTATAAGACACTGTTGACAGAAACTCAGGAAAGCATGTAGTGTCCTGGCAATTCTGGGAGTTGAAGGTCAAACCTGCCGAAGGGCCGCAGATTCTGGTCATTTTTTACCCATACCTTACCAACATTAATCACTCCTTCCGGGGGGAAATGTAGGTGAATAATTTGCGTCGGTTGAAGGGGCTAGTACTGTATTGACCCATCAATCCACATTGTTACCATCTGGTTATTTAACATAGCCATGGAAAATCACCATTTCTAATAGGTAAACCATCTATAAATAGGCCATCTATACCATGGCTATGTTAAATAACCAGAGGTTACATGGAGTTGTTTGTCACTGTTCCGGACTCAATTCTGGGGATAGCCTCAGATCCCCACCTCCAAGTCCGGCGAATCCAAGCGTTTGGCATAGGAGCCAATGAGATTGCTGCGTTCATCGGAAGGCAGGGCCTTCACAAACGATTCATAGGCTTCAGGGAAGAAAAGACCTGCACCTTGCGGGCTGTAGACAAAGTCAATCGATTCCTGCCACGGGTCTGCCAAATCAGACACAACTCGATTCCGGTCGCAGGTAGTCGCAGGTCGGTAAAGCATCAATTTTGGACCTCCAAATTATGTCATGTTTGAGGATCTGGTGATCTGAGTCCGCTTCACTCGAAGCGATTTTCCTTTATAAACCATCCATAAATAGGGTACCCCCATGACTATGGAAACCATCAATATATATAATATAACCATAACCACCCACCTGGCTAGGGATGAAGATGGAGTACAGCACCAGCGCCTTGACCAGCTCCGGAAACTTCGTGGCATAGGCCAGCGCCAGGGTAGATCCCCAGCTGCCACCTACGATCAAATCCCAAGCCTCGAAGCCCAGGTCTTCACGGAGCTGTTCGATGTCCTGGCGCGTTCTCCCAATTCTCCCAAAATCCAAAGGGGAAAAAAAAAAACTGTGGATTTTCTGGGGTTTTATGGAAGTTTTCTGGGGATTTATGGAAGTTTTCTGGGGTTTTATGGAAGTTTTACGGTTTTTTTTGGATGTTGATGGGGATCTATGGGACTCTTATGCCGATTTATGGATTTCTTATGGTGATTGTTAGGTGGACATGACGGGAAAAAAGTTGATCTGGCTGACTCATCGTAAATCACAAAACAAACGATTGACAGTAAGCTTGTTTTGAGGCTATAATCTGTCCAGCAAAATCATCATTTAAAAGCTTGTTTTTCTCATGTTATTTCAATAAGATGGCCGGTAGAAAGGGCACGACCTCCATTTTACAAGCCATTTGGGATTGGGTCGAGCCGGTAAAGGCAACAAAAAACATCCAAAAATATATGGTCTCATCATCAATTTTCAACCTCACGACCTCTTCAATTACGCTGAAAGACAAGGCAAACATCAACAGTGGGATGATAGGGCCTTTTACACCCGAAAGCCTGAAAGAGTTTGAGTTCCACGCATTTCCCATTCCAAATCATCACTTTCGCGGATGTGCCGTAGGTGGTTGCCAATACCTCACGTTTCCCTTTCGGAAAATTTTGTCACCCTTTAATGGCATTTGTGCCCCCACGTGGAGTTCCAACAAAAAAATGTCTCCAGCCCCAGCACCTGGACCAGATTTTCAGTCTTGTTGTGCTGATTGAAGCCGGGAGGGGACGACTGGCCGGCACCCCTCTGGTCGAAGATGACGATGCAAAAGGCCTCCGGACTCCGCTACGAATCGTGAACGACGGAACGAGATGGGCTGATGGGCTGCTAGGTGTCTCACCGTGGATCCGTACATGATTGGGAAATCTATGTTACCGCAAGGGCATCTCCACTGGTTGATCTACAAGGTTTCAATGAAAGGAGCATGTGGTCGCTCTGCCAGAATCTCAGTCGCCCATCGGGCCCATTGGTCATAAACCAAACAATAACCAAACTGCAAATGACAGCCGCAAAGAATCTTAGCATTGCCCATCACAAGTGACCACGCCGATTTCTACATCTATTCACCCATCATTTTCCAATGCCGTCACCACAAGCCATCTTCAAATCCACCAGACCCCGCGCCTCTGGATCAAACAGCCGCCGGTGCTTTGGGCTGCAGCCATCACCAGGGCCACCGTGGAGAAAGAGGGCCACCTTGCCCTTTGGGTTGCCCGACACCTACATGGGGCTTTTTGAACAACCAACACGGGTTTCATGAACCTTCATCCCCAACATTCCATGTGGAACACATTGAAGGTGAAGAATTAACAACAGAAACAGAAATCAGCATCGAAAAGAAGTGTTCCTAAAACCCAAACATTTTCGGCCGGCCTCATAATACAAGCTACAGCTTCCATCCTTCGTTTCCAGGCGCCCACTCTTCCGCGCTTCGATCTCCGGGAAGAGACTCCGCTCGCCCTGACACCAGGCCGTGGTGTTGCGGCGCCAAGGGACCAGGGGCGCGGCCACAGCAGCACCAAGGCATAGGGCAGCACCGCGGGTCCAGCGCGGCAAACAGCGGCGGCCCAGGACTGTCCAACGGGAGGCGTTCATGGCGAACGGACACGGAGTGTGGAAAGCTGGGATGGAAAGCATGGAGCCAAAGCTGATTTCTTATGATTTCTGATGATTTCTGATGATTTCTGGAATCACTGAGGGTTGAAGTCGTTGAAGTTAAGGATTGAACTTTGATATGACACAAAAACTGGTACAACCTTTTTGTCGCTCAATTGCACTGAAGCATTTCATCTTCTTCAATTCATCGCAGCCTTTGGACATTTTTGGGGGGCACCTGTCGTAGATCAGTCCCTTTGGGGAAGCCTTGATAAAACACACAGTCATGGGAGTCGGCATAGTTCATTCAGATTTGGGCGATCACCACTAGTCACCTGAGCACCCTGAGGCGGTCCACTCAACCAATGGCACGTTGATTCGATCTGAAAAACACGCAGGCTGCCTGGATCTGCAACTCTTCGAATCGATCTACCGATGTTTCCTGCAGCAACACTGACAGCTGAAATATGACTCAGCTATCAGCAATTTCATCATAGCCTGTGTTGAACTCATCTTCCATGACAACGAAAAAACTCCAGACATCTCGGAACGAGTATTGTCAACAGAGAACGAAGGTCAAACATACTGGTAGTATCTGGTAGTTACAGTTGGGAACATTTACAGAAAACGATCGTCTGTGCCCCCGAAATGTCCACTTTCAATTTTCTCTTAAACCACTTCTGGGAGGAAAACAAAATGGGGATTGGGGTCCTTCAGCGCGCACCCGATTCTGGCTGGCCATGACTCAGGCCTTTCGGAGCACAAGTGTGCAAGGTGTGGATTTACAATCTTACACATCTTCAAAATCGTCCACTTTACTTATTTATACTTGCATCCACTTTAAGTGCCTTGCATTGTTGTGTTTCGGATGTTGTAAAGACTCTGGGGAATCCTACTTCAACCGCCATCTGTAAAAAATAAAGCAAAAGGGCAAGCACCTGAGAAGAGGTGGGAGAAATCAAGCCATGTTCAAGAGCGTTCGCAGCTAAAGCCCAAAAGCCACGCATCCAGCTGCAAATCAAGCCATGCCAAGCAGCGCTCAGCTGTCTCATGATCCTCGTTGCACTTGGATGTGCATCCAAGTTGGTGAGTGGTTAAAAATCTTCATGGAAACACAGGAATCCCCTAGGAAGTTGACATGGATTCATCTTCTTTATAAATGGGCAACCGTTCCCACATATCCATCCAAGCAATTGCAGCTCCGTTTTCTCTGGCCACCAAACAAGCTGCCCAGGGCACATTTCACCCTGTCCACGAGAAAGGTGCTCGCGCCCCCAACTTATCCAACTTGGCGTGAAGAACATACAATAGGAATTCTACCTTGCTTTGACAGATATGGTGACTTCATTACTCCATCTGATGAATGTTTTTGGATGTTGGCAAGCGTGGCATGCACGCAATGTCGAGTTTCGAACTATGCGCAAGTTGCCATACTCTCCAGTCAGCATTTCGTGTTCTGTGTAAGTCCTGTAACGTTCAAGGCTTCAATTCTCAAAAGTTGCTGTTTTCAACTGGTTTGAACTAACTATTCAGCTCAAAATAGATCCAAATCACCTGGAAATTCCAGGTTTTCATTGGTTGTTGGCAACATCTTTGAGGCTCCCGTTTGAGAGGCTCAAGTCACAGGCCCGATGACAATGGAGTTTGTGACAACTAAACTTAAGAACATGTCACTCCGTTCACAGGGGCACCCCTGTAAGAAACTCACAGGGTTCTAGCTCGGAGAAAGGGATCCTGTCAAAATGATCACCTTGATGCAAATGATGACAGGAAGCGTCAGGGTCTCATTTCTGACTATAAAATACGAATTAGATAATCTGATTTTACTAATTTAATTATTGGTCTCATGTATAGAAATTTCACCAGATCAGAAGAAGTCCTGAGGCTCCCCATCTTTACAAAGGCGTGTCTGCAAAGCCTTGTTCTGAGTCCTCAGATCTTTCACTTCCTCCCGCAGCGAAGCCAAGCCTTCCACCATGCGCAGCATGTGGTCGCCCGTCTGCGCCGCCATGTGCACGGCCAAGTTCTTGACGCGTTGGCCGCACAACTCACAGATTGGCCAATTCTCGCGGCAGAGGACCTGCCGGTGCTAAAGTGGCTGGAGATTGTTTTCTTTGTCGCATCAAAAAAACTGTTGCAGTTGAGGTGGAAGCAACCACCGATCATGCCAACTTTACAAGTAGATCAGTGATGTGGGCAACCCAATGCCATACACCATTTTGGATATTTTGGAATGGCTTATACCACCCATCAAAATACAATAAAATACATAAACATATGATAACATATGGTGTTTTGGGGGATGGTTGAAGTATGGCTAAAAACCACGAGACAGGTCCAGTTTCCGGCCAAAACTGGGCCGCAGCGGCCTGATGCTCCGCCAACTGCCCAGCCGCTACTTCTGAATCACAGTCAGGACAGCGGATGGGGCGGTGACCGCACTTGCTACGCAGGTGGTCCTCTTTATCGCTCAGGCACAAGACCTATAGGCGTGAAACGCAAGATAAAACGAAAAAGCCCCCAGGATTCTGGTGACCTGGTGGGAAAAAAACCCAAATGTCAAGAGGGTGTGGTCTACTTTTGGAGTTGACCAGTTTACCCTTTTCATAAAGACATGTACAAGTTCTACATGTCATGTCACTTTTGAACCTCCAACCACCATCCGCCAAGCAACTTGCCCGCACTTGTTGGGACACACGATCTGCAGCCGTTGAATGGCCCGTCGATTCGCATAGGCAGGCGCCACCTCGTGTCCCTCCTGTCGGCAAACAGGACAACGCTCGTCCTCGCCTTGGCACTTCACCCAGCAATCCTCACAGAAGAGTTCGCCGCATTCGTGTGCCAAGGCGTTTCGGGCCACCATGAAACAAATGGGGCACTTGGATTTCTCGGCTTCCTGACGAGATTTGCGTGGGACCAAAAAAACCTAGATCCCAGAACAACTGAAGGCACGGTCTTTTACTGTTTACATCGTTTACATCCATTTACAATTTACAATCGATTTTTTGGTCTTCCATTCAGAAGCATGGCCAAAAGTGGAGCCAAGAGGTCTGCTGAAGCCCACCTCTGCAGAAACCCAGGTCTCATCATACCCAGCAGGCGTCCAGTCAACCGGCGGTTCCGTCCCCGTCTCATGACTCAACTCGACTGCCCTCAAGGGACCCCAGTGGGAGCTGCGATCCTGGAACCACTCATCTTGGATCTGTGCGATGTTATAGGCAGACCCCAGGCTCGGTGAGAGCTTGGGCATGGGACAAGCATCCCAGAGCTCCTCGTCCAAATTCACAAACTTCACCAGATTCCCCACATCAAAGGAACGCATCAACAAGGGCGCCGGATCTGCATCTTCACCACCGTATCCCTGCGTGGTCCAGTCGCCAATTGGCGGTACCACATTGGGAAGGGGGTGGGAATAGTACCAGCCCCCGGTATCATCGTGAAAGTTGATCTTCCAGAACGAATCATAGTAGATGATGCCTGAGCCATTGATCTGCCGGAACTTGGGTCTCCCATTGAAGGTCTCGGTGGGCACATACCGCCCATTGACCTGCGAACCTCTTCCTCCTGCATGGGACAGACGCAGGTGCGACACCGCGACGAGATCATAAGCATTCTCGGCTCCAACTCCTGCGGAGCTGGGGAAATGTGGGCCGCAAGTCTTTGGGGACATAAGAAACCACAAAAGGCCGTTCTTGTATTTGTTACCTGGAAAAATGAAGGTTTACATTACAATTTTGAAACATACCCATGTGGTTCCCTGTCGCAACATTTTGTGGGTCAGCCCATGGTTTTCCTCCCTGCATAAACGATTCTTCGTGGTTGAATGAAATCGTCAGTTTCTAATCGGGAACCATGCTAATTCATGTTTGGGAAAAAATACCACCACAACATGGAAAAAATATTATCATCATTTATGATATACCTAAACCTACCATCAAAAATCGACCAAATGTTGAAGAAAAAAATAGAAAACGAAATATGACCACCAAAAATATAGACTCAAAAATCTCACCCAAACAGGAAAAAAAATCACCCAACAACTCCAAGCTTCGATAGTTGTTCTCATTGCCGTTATCCCATCGAACGCCCACCCAACCCTCGGTGGCCGACCCGCGTTCCACGGTCATTCCCAGGCGTCCGCCATCCTGATCGCCCCAGCACCATTGGGGACCCCGCGCCACGCGCAGGCCGATGATGGGGGCCCCGAGCTCGGAAATCACTTGGGGCTCATAGCCTCAGACTCTCCAGAGCTCATATAGCGCAAATCCACCATAGATTTTGTAGATAACATCAGGAAAATCTCGATTTTATAGATGTTCCCATAAACTCCCAAACTAGGATTTTCGATTGCCGGAGGGTAGATGCGGAAAATGGAACCAACCAGCTAAGCTGAATGGCGATATTGATACAGTTGTAGCACACCAAGAAAGGGTTAGAGACGCAGTTTGGAAAAAAACAAACAGTATCTTGGCTGGAAATTGATTTTTCTGTCTTTTTGTGGCTTGCACTATGGTGGAGATGTAGTAGTATGCAATGCACTATGGTCGAGATGCAGCCGTATGCAATGCACTGATTGCGAATTTGATAATTTGGCTGAATAAAAACCAAGGAAACACAGTTGGCCGCAAAGCAACAGCTTGTACCTTTTTTCAGGCCTTAGGTCCTTGAGCCGAATGCCCAGCTGCATTCGGCTTGTGCGTGTCATCCTTGTGCGTGTCATCCTTGCTGGCAGGGGCCTCGAGGCACGGAAACTGCCAACTGGTGACAACGGTACTATTTTTGGAAAAAAGAGGGGTTGTTACATGCTAAACTGTTTCACGGCTTCGCACTCCCCCCACTCCGGTGCCCCAGCGCTGGAGTGACTCACAAAAGACTCAGAAAGTTTCTCAAACTTCTTCGATCACACTCCACTCACCGCTGGATTCATCTATGCGTGCGGGAGTTTGTGGGATCTGAGAAACAACTACCCGGCCCCTCTCAGCAGCATCTCCTCGGCGGTAACCCCAGCGCAAAGCCGCACCAGAAGCAGCAGCCGCGGCCGTAGAGCTCGAGGATTCAGCAGCCGCCGCCGTAGAGCTCGAGGATTCAGCAGCAGCATTCTAGGTAGAGCTCGATGTCGTTGTAGGCCCAAAAGGTTCCTGGGTTGGCACGTACGGTAAAGGACCATCTTCCCCCGCATGATAGCGAGGTACCTGTCCGGTACGGTCTTGGTTTCCCTCCGGAATTCTTCGACCATCCTGTCCAAAAGCTATGGTCACCCGCAGCGCTTCTAAGCGTTGGGGTCGAACGGAACACCTCGGTGAAGCGGGTGGAAACGTCTCTCCCGCAGTGCTCCATGCTTTCTTATCACCCAGCCCTTCAGCTGTGGTGCCCATCCATCCTTCTTTCCTGAAGGCGGTTGTTGGAACTCAACTCGTTCCCATGGGTTTTCCTCAGCCGCTCGGTTTTCTTACCTGTTGACGCTGACCAAGACCTTCGTCACGGCCAACACCACATGGCATCCTCAACGCAGCCAGCTTCAAAGCAGGTGCAGGAGGGTCTGGTGGGGGATCACGCGGTCCCTTCTCGATGACCGGCAACCTCTCAATCTCCTCCTCTTTTTTCTTTTTCTTTTCCTTTTTCTCACGATCCTTATCGGATCGGTCTTCGGGTTGTTTTCTTCGAAGGGTCCTCTGGTGGCACCTCCTCCTCAGGCTCTTCTGTGGATCCAGCTGGATCCCCCGTCAACTCTTCAAGCTCTTCAGACTGATCAGGTGAAGATGGCACAATTACCATTGGTACACCCTCAGGAGTGTAGTATCCCCATTTCACAGTCCTTCTGCCAAAACTTTTGCGATCTAGGCAGTTGTCGTGGCAGCTAACCATTGTTGGCCATGAGCGTTCGTCGGCTTGATTTGGTGAATCGACCGGGAGGCTTGAAGGACCGCTTTAGAGCAAGATGTGCAGAGGCCAAGATTTGTGACGATTGTGCCATGTGCAGTGGACCTCTTCATTTCTCCGTGACGGATTGTACATATCCGCTGCATGTGGTGATTCTCGATTGCGGACATTTTTGTTCGAAGTGGTGATTTCCTGTTGATGCAGCGACACGTCCATGGCGTCAGCTCAGTCCTACAGAACGCTTGAAAAATGAAAATGCTACAGTGCATTGGCTGGGGTATTCATGAGATAGCCATAAATAGCAACAAAGATGATGGATTTACCGCCAGTTTATGGCCATTGAACAATGGGGAAAATTTGGTGATCTCCCAAAAAGAATGGAGCAATCCTAAAGTTGACATGGGCTGGAACCCAAGATTTAACCACCCATGTGGCCCATGATTCTACGGTGTATGTATGTATATATGTATTTACTTACTTACTTACTTACTTATTTACTTACTTACTTACCTACCTACTTACTTACTTACTTACTTACTTACTTACTTGTTTTCCTTGTTTTCACATATTTATTCACTATTAAATGGACTGGCAGGGCATTGTTTACATCTCAAAGCCTCCGATTCTCTCAAGTGTTTGGGTCAATGATTTGGAGTCAATCAGGAAATGCTGATCTGATCTCTTCAGTGGGTGTACTGCAAACTCAAGCAGGCCAGGTAATTGGGATACCTTCAGCAGCATTGGGCTATTATGATACAACCAAGGACCAAGGGTATTGAAAGGGTCAGCCAACCATAGGGGATAAAACCCGCATGGATATATAAGATATGTAAATGTTCTTCGATCATTCCATGTGTCTTGGATCTATACAGGGGAAATCCTCCCAATAAACCAGCAACGATGGGAACACCAGTCCAAGAGATCGGCCATCATTATCCTCAAGTGACTCAAGTCTTCATTCATCTTTACTAATGAATTCCAGGGACACCATTTTTCGTTAACTTTAAACTTCATTTCTGTATGCACCCAACGTTCGGAGCCACCCCACATTGCCAGTTGACTGCCGGTCTCATAGACACCGACAACGGGTGCAGGGTCCGCATCGAGGCCGGTGTAGCCATCTGTGCTCCAGAAGCCATTGGGTGGATAGGAGGCAGCGGAGTCGTGGTGGCAATAGAACCAGCCACCCAAATCGTCCTGGCGGAGCCCACTGCGCCATTGGCAGAGTCTGATAAGGACATCACAAGGGTATGACAACACGGTAAACCCATTGCAACAAACCTGGGATGAGAGTTACCCGGTTACCCGGTAGTGCAGTGACGCGTTGAGGATGATACCTCTGGAGCTTTGGAGCTGTGCCCTGGCCTCGTCATTGATCTTCCATTGGCCTGACAGCAACTGGTCTACTGACTGGTCTGGATACTGATGTGGCCCAAGTTCAGGGACACATGTTCAGCCGTACTCATAGGACTCATATGTATCATAAGTTTCTATCTACAATGCCTTGAGTTTCTTAAAGTCCAAGTTGTCGCCTCAAGCTGCTATGGCTATCCCACCTTCACACGCCCCAGCCCCAGCCTGAGAAGTAAATGATGGCAGTCCCCTCACGTTGTCGATATCTGGGTTTTCCATGAAGCATCCCATCTTGCACGAACCAGCCATTTACCGATTCGCCCACGCCACCGGCACCGGTGACTCGCACCGGCCACGCACCAGAACCGGAGGCCACGCTTGGTGCTCGCGCTTCAAATGAGATGCTCCTGATGGGTCAATACCTCCATTTTTTGGATGACATGGGATGACCATTCAGAAAAACCAGCTATTTTGATGTCCACCAGGGCCACCAGGGGTACAATGGGGTACAGTGTACAGGGTTTTGCCCCATACCCGTTTTAAGATCCATGGTTTTCTCCAATTTGGGGTGTAGATGGGTGTAGCATAACCTCCGCTTAGAATTTGCTGCATTTGGCCTCTAAGAAAACAAAATCGGTGGATAGACAAAAGGTACCGCATTTTCGGACTAACCCGTGTCTCCTCCGAAAAACATCAGCCATCATAAGCCTGTTTCTTGGGGATTAGAGCATCCTCCCCAGCATCCCCAGCATCCACCAACCCCTCTCCTTCCAACCACAATGAGATCATATTTGCCATCTGCTCCGACACGATATTTATTTTCCACTCCATGATCCCAACGGACGGCCACCCAGCCCAGTCTGGCTTCGATGTCCACGGTAATGCCAAGACCACCATCGTCCTAGACATCCCAAATGGAATCAATGCAGTCGTTTTGGTTGGGAAAATCTACCCTCTGGTTAGTTAACATAACCATGGAAAACGACCAACTTTATAAGTAAAACATGGTTGCGGCGCCTGTGGACCTGCGGCGCTTTCGTCTGTTTTGAAAGCTTATGGTTTGTCATTTCTCAATCCGCAACTCAGTTTTTTTTGGTTCTTATGAGAAGCGCCAAGTGCCCCCACCTGTTTGTTGTGGGTAGCACACAGCTTTACGAGTGCATCCCAAATGGAGCCTGTAAAAGCACTTTTCGTGGAGCCATTGCAAATGAGACAATTGCAAGAGAAGATCCTATGAACGTAGCATCAATTCACCCACATTTTTTTCACCCACAGGCTTTTCACCCGCAGATTTTTCACCCACACGCTTTTCACCCGCAGACTTTCCACCCACAGGCTTTTCCGCCACAGATTTTTCACCCCCAGGCTTTTCACCCGCAGATTTTTCACCCACAAGCTTTTCACCCGCTGAGTTTTCACCCACAGGCTTTTCACCCACAGATTTTTCACCCACGGGCTTTTCACCCGCAAATTTTTCACCCACAGGCGGCTTTTCACCCGCAGAGTTTTCACCCACAGGCTTTTCACCCCAGATTTTTCACCCACAGGCTTTTCACCCACAGGCTTTTCACCCACAGATTTTTCACCCACAGGCTTTTCACCCGCAGAGTTTTCACCCACATGTTTTTCACCCGCAGATTTTTCACCCACAAGCTTTTCAACCGC